TGAGACTCCTAGCAATAGTGGAGAGGGTGCCTGAACTAGTCATCTACTGTAAGCAGATTGGTGCCTTTCCCAATTGCAATCAGAGATTCTCTATCTAGTAACTGATGGAAACAGAGGCAGAGATCCATAGACAAGCACTGGGCTGAACTCCCAGTCTTGAGGAAGAAGGGGGGAGGGATTATACCAGTCTGGGGGGTCATGATGGGGGAACCCACAGAGACAACAGACCTGAACTCATGGACACTGCATCAACAGTCAGGGAGCCTGAATGGGGACTGAACTGAGCACTCTGCATGTGTGTGACAATCGTGTAGCTTTGTTTCTTAGTAAGGTTTCTAACAGTGAGAGCAGGACCTCTCCCTGATGCTTAGCTAGCTTTTGGTAATCTGTTCCCCAGGCTGGATTACCTGGCCCCATCTCGAAGTAAGGGATATAAGGGGAGGAGCTTGGTCCTGCCTCAACTTGAAGAGTCATGCTTTGTGCAAGCCCACAGGAGGCCTATCTCTTTCTGAATGAAAATGGAGTGGATGGGGAGGGGGTAGATAGGAAAGGGGAGGAGATAGGAGGACAGGAGGGAGGGGAAATTGGTTGGTATATAAAATAAATGAAAAAAATGTTGAATAAAAAAACTTTTGTGGCTTATTTATTCAAACCATGTACTGAATATCTTTTCATACCCTAAAATATTAACCAACAGTTCCTCTTTTAAACTTACTTAAATACAGTTATTGTGTGGTCCTGGGGATCAAAACCAAGGCTTCACATATGCTAGGCAAGTGCTCTATCACTGAGTTATGCTCACAACCCTACAGCTCCATTTGAATGATCTTGTGGTTTTCCATTTATTAATTACTACAGTTTATTTGCTGAAGTTGAGCACATAGGTAGTTCTGCATTTCACATTAATTTACATTATTTAAAACACAGTAAGCAAATGCTTGTCCTCACTCCAGCTATTTCTGTGGACAAAGTAGAGTAGCAGGTTTGCTATCTGCCATGAAATCACCATCCAAAATGGTTGCCATGGTTTCTATACCAATTCTATGCAAGAGTCATTATTAATGAGCATCATTCTTTTTTTGTTTTGTTTTGTTTTTTTTCGAGACAGGGTTTCTCTGTGGCTTTGGAGGCTGTCCTGGAACTTGCTTGGTAGTCCAGCCTGGTCTCGAACTCACAGAGATCCGCCTGCCTCTGCCTCCCGAGTGCTGGGATTAAAGGCGTGCGCCACCAACGCCCGGCGAGCATCATTCTTTTTAGTGCCCTGTGAACCTGAGTCAAAATTCCACTATTTGAACTTTCACTATTGATCACTATTAACGCCACATTTTTTATCTTTTACCTATTATTCCTCATTTGGGAACTATGTATTTGTCCTTTGCCTGGATTTTCTGAAGTTATTAATATGTAATTTCTTTACGGATCCATAAATAGTTCTTATCCGTTGGGGTAATTATTTATAAATGTTTTGACTAAGCCTTACTTTATGTTTTCACTATGACTTACTTTATGTGTTTTCACTATGACTTACTTTATGTGTCCTACCTTTGCTGTCAGTCACAACTGCACTTCTGGGTTTTATGGTTGTAGGAAAAATGATCACCCAGAATCACCAGATTCTATACATTTAAATTTTTATAGACAGAGTGAACATAAGTAAGACTATGCAAAAGTATGTACATTTTGTTTATCAAATAATAAACTGATACCATGTTATAGTTTGTATTTGCAATGTCCACCAAAGTCTTATTAGCTTTTCTACAAACTCAGAGGGACCTGGGCCCTTCCTTCCTACACCACCATGTTGATACACCAGACACTATGATGGTAAGTAAGCATCAGGCCTCAAGCCATCACAAGGCCTCAGTGCCCAGCAGATGCAAGGGTAAGGCTGTCTTTCTCACTCAGCCTGGGCTCTTACTTTTGCATCATCCTTAGATGGAAAATATATAATGGGCTGCCAACTGCAGACCCACCCAGGAATACTTCAGATGGCTGGACTGTAAGGGTGGTGTCTCCGACTCATTCCATAAAAAGGGACTGAATGGGGCATAAGGATCTTTGGAGTATTTCTGATAACAACAGTCAAACCACCATGGACTTTAAACTCTTAAACCCTTACATTGTCAAAATAATTTTTTTCTAGGTTTCCTAACTCCCAGGTTTATTATATCATGACAGGACACTAACATAAACGATCCCTCTATGCCCCTAAACCTTAAAAAATGTGTTTTTGGCACGGCAATGAGAATATGTTGTTTGACTCTTTTTAGAGATATACACTGGGATTGTGCTCTGGTTGAGCAGGAGGCAGTGTCTACAGAGCACGATTAGCCCTTCTGCTGCTAAGAACCCAACATGGGTGATGGATGCATGAAGCTCACTAAATTATTCTACCCAGAGTATGTTGGAAAATTTCCTCAATTAAAAAGAGAGTCCAAGCTTTCTGTTAATTTAATGGCAACACAAATGCTCTAGTAAAATACGACACAGGGAACAGATTGAGGCAATTTTTATTTCCAGAGTGCCTTCAGTAGATAGCCAGGTCAGGCTCTGTTCCTCCAGCCCTTCATCCCCCCCCCAACCGGAATCAAAGTCCCGTACTTGAACCCAGGCTCTACAGCTCAGGCTTCCTGCTCTTCGTTGGCAGCATTCCTGTAGGTGTGTGACTCACTACTGTCACACTGGTCTCCACATTATGAGTGAGCCCTGGTGTTAGTGCCACAGGTTTGCTGTGTTTCTGCTGAGGTGCTCCTAGGTACAAGGCTCATTTCCATTTTTCCCGGTAGTTATCATGTGAAGGAAACCTTAAGCATTTTTTGATAGAAAACAAGTTATTAACAGCAAGAGGCTTTTCAGCTAATGGTTTGGATCCAGGATTGTGGGGCTGCATCTGGTGATGGCCTTCTTACCTGCAGAGTCCTCAGGCTGTGCAGAGAACTGCATGATAAAGCAAGGTTCATGCAAGAGTCCAGACCAAACTGGCTTTTCTTATCTATTCTCCCATTAACCTATTATCTACTTATCTCATGAACAGGTTGCTCCTATGGGGACAGAGGCTTAGTCCTTCACTCCTTAAAGGCCCCACATTTCTGTAAATCCCAACGTGGGCTTCAAAGGGACCAACCACATCCAAACCATCCCTCCTTCCATGTACATCCATCTTCCCCATCTCTCTTCACTCTTACCTTCTTTGAGTTTCATCACAGTGCTAAGTATTATGACAGCACTCAGTATGTTAATCTGTTTAGTCTACCTGAAAAAAAAAAGTTCCCGGAGACTTTGCTCACTCCCAAACCCCTGACGCCGAAGACAGTGACTGCCATGTAGTACACACATGTATTTATAGACTGCACATGCCAGCTTCTGAGCAAAGCTCATCTCCAGCTAACTACCCTGCAGTTGGAGAAGGAAGCCTGCTCATAGGACCTCTGCTCTCAAAGCCTTTGAAGAAAGCTATGTGTATAGACTGAGACAGAATTAAACCAGCTATAGCAAGAACAGAAGCTAGGCCCCAGGTCAGAAATGCTTGACAGGAATGGTCACAATCTGATGGAGCAGTTGTCAAAACCAGAAGCTATTTCCACTATTTACTGTACTGATGAATTACATTTAAGAGGACTGCAAGTTCAAGGCCAGCCTAGGGTACACAGTAAGAATACTCCAGGAAGCGATGGTGCACACTTTCAATCCCGGCACTCAGACGGCAGAAGCAGGAGATTCTCTGTGAGTTTGAGGCTAGTCTGGTCTACAGAGAGTTCCAGGACAACCAGGGCTTCAGAGAAACCCTGTCTCCAAAAACAAAACCCCAAACCAAACAAAATAAATAAAATATCACCCCCCCCAAAAAAAACAAAACCAGTAACAAACAGCTCAGAGAACTATCACCCTTTATTTCAGAAATGCCTGGAAACCAGCTAGCTTCCTGGGGCCCGTGTTGCAAGGCTCTTGAAACAAACCTGGTAACATGGCCTGCTCTGACCACACCTGTCATCCTGTATTAGCTAATGAAAAGTCCCATTTCTGGTTGGAACCAGAACACAGTTGGGCTTTCCCCCTCCACACACACCTTTTTACTTTAAAAATTTTTTTAAAAATCTTTATACTGTGTAAGAAAACAGATATGGATGGGCACTAAGGAGACAGTTGGTAAAGTACTTGAGCATGAGATCCCCAGTTCAACCCCGACAACCTCTGTATTTAAACAAACAAGCCTAAAAGCCAGGTTTGGTAGCACAGGCACGCCTGTAACCCCAAGCCCTGGGAAGCAGAAACTGAGAAACAGGAAGGTCTTTAGTGAGCTCTTTGCCTAGCCAGCCTGCTAGGGGAATTCCAGTCTAATGAGAGACCTCTGAAAACTCGGTGGACAGCTGAGGGCACCCATGGTTGACTTCTGGCTTCCAAAAACGTGTTCTAATCTACATTTTTTTTTTTTTTTTTGGTGGTTTCTCGAGACAGGGTTTTTCTGTGTAGCTTTGGAGCCTGTAGACCAGGCTGGTCTCAAACTCAGAGATCCGCCTGCTTCTGCCTCCCGAGTGCTGGGATTAAAGGTGTGTACCACTACCGCCTTTCTACACTCTTAAAGACCAAGAATACTGCTTTAGGGAGGGCCTATCCTACCCTAACCGTATCATTTCGGCTAAATTACCTCCTTAAAGCTTAATCTCTAAATACAGTCACATTCTGAAGTGACTGATTCAGGGATGTGGTACAAATGAATTGTGAATGATATTGAATGATATGATTAGGCCTGTAACAGATACAGGGTGTTCTTTCATAGTGACATAAGCACTCACATTAGGAGTAATGTATGTACTACTGAAAGTTAAACACCAGGAGATACCCACATCATATGCATATAAAAGCTAACTGTGTATGGAAAAAATGCTTTCCAACAAAGCTCATCTGTAGCATTTCAGATTTACTGGAAAGGCTCAAGTTGAAAAGGTGACAGCCAAACCCAGGTATTAGGGCAGTTTAATTCAGAAACAAAGCCAACTCCATTAACCAGTATTTTTTCTTTATTTGGAAATGGGGTTTTACTAGGTTGCCTGGTTGGCCTCAAACTCACAGAGGGCCACCTGACTCTGTCCCCTGAGTGTTGGGACTAAAGGTGGGTGTCACCATGCCCAGGCCCCACAATTTGCCTGAGCGAGGTCCCAGGCAGTGAGCATTTTCTGGAACAGCTGCTGACATCTCCTCGAAAGGCTGTTGATGCTTACTGTTTCTCTAAGAGACAACACTTGATCCAGGTGTGGACTCACTCATCAGCATGTCAGTTACCTGTCCCAGGAAGCCCAGGTCTCTGCATGTCACCCAGACAAGAGAGGCGGGCTCCAAGCCTGGGAGCCTGCACTTCAACATTTCAGTCTGTGGCCTCTGCCCTGACCACAGTGTGCTAGGCATCCACCCTTCACAGAAGTTTGTCACGTTTGTCCAAGTTGTCAAACTGATTACAGCTTTATTTTATACATTGTGTAATTTGGTACATGGAAGAAAAGAACTAGGTCAGTCATAATGAATATCCTCATTTCCATTTGACCTACCACTGAAAACCCAGCCAAATCATTTTGCTACTAAAAAATAAAAAGTAGGAACTAAACCAACATTTATGTCAAGCAGTACGTTTTCTCCTTCAGTAGTCAAAGCACCTCCTGCTGAGGGAATGAAATGCAACCCTGATAGTGACATCCCATTTCAAGGAAGAATGAACTCTATTCTCAAGTATAAACTTGACTATCACAAATAAGCACACAAGTTGAAAAGGCAAGCACACTATGGAAATGACAGTCTACTGTAGAATCCAGCCCCACAATTTGCCTGAGCAAGGTCCCAGGTACTGTTGGGGCAGCAATGCTGCCTTCTTCCTACGGAAGGGCATCCATATACCTCTCTCTGATGGCTCTGGGAGGCCTGTTCTCTACTGGCTCTCCCTACCCTGGCCCTTTGGACTCATGGGAGGTTTGTGACAGACTGGGTTGGCTGAGCCAAAGGTCAACATCTCATGTGGAATGATGATCTCAGGGTATGAAGGCCATGCTGTAGTTACATTATATTGAGGCTCCCCTGGGAGACAAAGCCTCCTTCCTCTTCAACAAGACAATCCTGTGTCTGGTGACACCAGTCTGGCTACCTCTTCTTCATGTGTGACCTCATGTGTGCAGCAATTGAACCAGCGATTTCTGCCACCTTCTTGTTTTGGCCAAAGTAATCAAGAAACTCTCCATCTGGTCCAATCAAGTACATTATTATTGTATGATCAACCTGTAAAGAGGAAGGGGAGAGGCATGTGTGAAAACAATCACTGATCTTATGTTGTTGAAGAGAAATATACTGCAGGTAAGAGATGTTAACATCAGTGCTTAAATAATCACTGACTATCTGCTCAGGGAAGCACTGTCTACCAAATGGCCCAGTACTCATAGCTGGGGACCATCTGAAATTTCATGTTCCAGAAATCTGCAATGGCTGCTGCTGTGGGTCAGCTTAGGAGTCTTAGGGTACAGTTCTTCATATACTCACCCGTGTACATTCTCTGAGAGAAGAATTCACCTTCTATCAGCCTTCATAAGTAACCTATGCTGTGAAACAGCAATGTTGTTTTGAAACACCTTCCACTTCTGATTGGGTGTATCTCATCTGATCACCTTTCCATTCACACAGGCTGTCACATGGGAGTCAGATCAGTGATCAGAACTACTCTGAGTACTTCAGAATCTAGCGGGTGCCTGGGTGTCCATCCTCATGTTTAAGGAAGAACTGGCTGGCTCTCATTACTGCCTAATCTCTGTTTGCCATACTTTATGAGAAGCCAGAAAACCAACCACTAGTGAAGCATGTAATTTACAAATCCTAATAGTGATTTAGTCCAGGTATTAGTGATTCAAACAAAAATGGGAAGATGTGTTTCTCCCCTGGGAAATCTGCACTTGCTATTCTGAGCTTTGTATCTTAAGCAGACTGCTTGGAAACTCCACAGGCCACAAATGCTGCTCTCTGGGAGGCTCTTCAACCCACCATCCATTTTCCTGACCATGTCTTAGTTCCAATTTAAGCTTACACTGGTCATTCTTTTTGGATATTCATTTCCACAATATTTTAAGAGTAGATCTGGCATCCTAAGTCCTTGGAATCTGTTGCAGGCTTGTTTGGCATGACAGGAAGATAGGAATACTATCACATACACCAACTGGAAACTCCCCAGAATATACCCCAACTCACATTATCTAGTCATGAGGCTATTATCTTCTTATACACACACATTCATAAGGAGATAGCAAATGGAAAGAGCCACTCCCTGCCATCAGGAAAGAATGCCACCGAGAGCTAAGACAGCTGGTGACTTCATGTGGAGAATTTAATGAAGGAGCCAGGCAGGGTCTGGAATTTCTCCTCCCATTTGACAGAGGTCTCAGTTTTAAAACTCTGGCTGTCGCTTCAAGTCTTTCTCCACAGCCTGTACCCCTCTTTCCTTCACTGTTTCCTTTTTTAGAGAATTAATTTCTTGACAATTTCATGTACACGTATCATATCACACCCCTTTCATTTTCTCTATTCACTTCTTTCTTAAAGAACAGAACTGCAGCATGATGGACTGATTTTTGAGGGTTCTTAATATAAATTACCAACTAGTATGTGGTAAAACACATTCTTCTGCCCTTTCAGTAGTCACTTTTTGATTATTGTTGGGGCAAATCAACATTTGTTCTAATAGAGAATTTGTGAGAGTCTAGTAGTTTGTAGTATAGAAAAACAAAACCAGCAACTACACATCCTTTCTTCCTTTGTGTGTGGTACAAGTGGGGTGAGTATGCACACCCGCCCCCACACACACAGAGGCCAAAGGACGATGTTGGGTGGCATCCTTTGTCACCCTCAACCTGACAAGATCTCTCACTAAACCTGGAGCAGGTTGGGAGCACCAAGCCCCAACAAACTTACTGTTACCACCCCCAATAGTGCTGAAGTTCAGGAGCGCATGACCATGCCTGGCTTTTTACGTGGTTGCTGTGGATGTGAACTCAGGCCCCTGTGCTTGTGCAATAGGCACTGTTACCCAGTGAGCAATCATCCCACCCCTCACTTGTCATTTCAACCCATCCTCTATACAGTACAAGCAGGCTGGAGAGGGGAAGTTACAGACACTACTAAGTGCCCGATCTAACCTTAAGACCTAGCACCTGTCCAATTTCAAAGTCCACATCCTTTTATCACCAAGTTGCCACTATTTCCAATTCAACCGACGAGGTGGCAACTCGTATCTTTTTTAATACACATTTTTACTGCCTAAAAAAGTAGTGCATGCGCACTACTCTTTCATTCTGGACTCCCAATGTCCTTTGGGTCTTCTAGCAGGGAACCACTGTCACTAGTTACTACTATATTCTCAGAGAAATTCTCTTCATTTATTACATCTGTACCCAGCACCACCTACCACTGTCACACAACTGACACTTCATGACAGTCTCTTGTCAGGTAACACAGAAACCACTGTTCTACATAGGATAAAGTAACTCTTCAAAAATGGCTGCCTGGGTTTCAGTCCTTGGTCTTTACCAACATGCTACAAGATTCAGCTGTGAGCTAAATTCCAAGTAGCACCCATGTGGGTAAACTTGCAGTTTTACATACTCCCACTCTCTGAAGAGGGCCTACCAGATTCATTCCTATCAACAACTTTGAACACCTGTTGTTCGAAGTGCACTCCAACAACCTATGTTCCAATTTAAACAACAGATTTTCAAACTTTCCAATCACAGCTAAACTAACAGTTTTTAAAAAGGTGTACCACTAAATAACCCTCATTTCTTTTGTTATGAATTTGTCTTAGCTTAAATTTCAAAAGCCATCTGTATTCTTCTTGAACTATTTTCTAAGTAACATTTATATATAGTAATGTAGTATTATGTGTATAATAATTATGGATATAGTAATGTGCAAATTTACCTTTGTGGTGAATTCTGTTTGGTATGCTCAATTTATATACAGTATCTAAAGATTCTTTTATCATCATTGTCTGGGATTATGAAAATATCACCCCATTACACCTCAAGGCTAATCTTTAAGCATTGCCCCTTACTGGTCCTTAAATCCTAACATATTTCCATTCATCCACAGCTTCAAGACCTGAGTCACACTAATGAAAAATTCTAGGAACCCTGGAAGTGTCTCCCCCTGTTGGTTGATTTAGCAAATGCACAGCAATGAAGTAGCTGAGAGCTCAGAACAGCAGACCAGTAAGCTAGAAAACTCTGTCTAGGTGCTTTAATCTTTAAGACAAAAATTACAACTATATTTCTCTGACCCACAAGTACAAATTTCAAGGCCTAACATGTGCTTGGTTTGTAATGAACTCACTGGCTCCAGGCAGTGCAGTGCTGGAGACCCACAAAAAAAAGAAATGGCAATTTTTATCATGCAAAGGGCAACTGAAAATTGTGAAGGGGTAGTTGACAGCATCATGGGACCGCATGGGCTAACTGCTTAACTCCATTCCTGCAGTTAAGAACAGCTTTGGTTCAGTAGAACACTTGTCATTTGAATGGAATGTTTCACTTGCTTTTAATTTTGAAACCAGGTCTCACTTATGCGGTCCTAGTTGGCTTGAAACTCATGAAGTGTGACACCAGGCCTGTCTGAACTCAAATGCTACAAATAATACCAACCATTTTGTTTATTTGTATTTTTTCTTTTAACTTCAGGACAGCCCTATAATAGAATTTAACAAAACTTGTTTATGCCTGAAGATTAGCTCCTCTCACCCCTTCTGGCACTCTCAGGTAAACCCTCAAAGCACACGCTGCAGCTGTATTAAAGGGGAGAAGTCTAAAAGCCCTTCGTCCATGGGCTCCTCTTTTGGCACTGAGGCACTTTTCCACATCTTCTCACACTACAGTGCAGCAAGACAAATGCACGGGAGTGCCTGACTACTTCTCTCAACTTAGGGCTTTGGAAAAACCCACTTTTTTCTTGTTCTTTTCTCCCATAAATCCCAAATTTTCCCAATGCTATGAGGCATCAGGCCTGGAAAATATGGTGCCATGTTGGGCGTAATTGAGGTTCGGTGGTCAAAAGTCTGTTTTTTTTTTTTTTTTTTTTTTGCCATAGGCTATAAGGGCACACAATAGGTTACAAGCTCTAAAACGGCTGAAGGATTGGCCTAGTGTGCCAGTGCTTCCTGTGAAAGCAAGAGTTAAAATCACCTGCATCCAGGTAAAAGCCAAGTATGGCTACAGATAGCTGTACAAGCAGTACAGGGGAGCAGAGAGGCAGATTCTGCAGCTCCTTTATCAGCCATCCTAGCATGTGCGCGTGGGTGGACACACACAGACACACGCATGTACACACGCACACCCACACCCACATGTGTGCACAGGAGAAAGAAAAACTACAGTGGGCAGTGGAGACAAACACTCTGCACATCACTGTAGGGATAGCCTCAGGGAGCAGGTAAATCAGTGACTCAGATAGTCCTGCTCCCTCCCCCCTCAGTTTTATAGATAAAAAGGAAATTCATGATTAATCACTAATATTACAGAAAAGCCAGAGTATGACAACTGAAAAAAAATATCTGTAATAATACTATAGCACCATGTCAACTCTGAATGTGCTGAGAAACAAGAACCTGATTGAGAAGTCAGCCCTGTGCACACCATGAAACAACCAATCAGAAATGGGCTCAGTTGCTCAGGACTTCCTACACAATGCTGATTAACAAGGACACAGTTCTTTAAAGAAAGAACCACAAAGATAAACTGGGCAGATGTCCCATCTCTCATTATTGAGCCCCAAGTTGAATTGAACTGTTGCAATCACTAAAACTTATAAGTCTGTTATTTGAAGACTATTTTCTCTCTTGCTTTGCAATGAAATAAATGATTCCCTGAGGCTTAGAGCACGTTTCTTCCACTCCATCAAGGACACCAGGAGAACTAACACAACGCTGATCACTAAAACTGAAGCAGCATGAATTCCATGTGATATGCCTCTGAATCCAACACGGTGCCTGAGTATTTGCTTTTGTAATCGTATGCAACTAGGGAAGTCAGACAAACTATGGGATGAATATAAATTAAGCAACAAACACCTTTCAAAAAAATATGTGCCTACTAGATTTTCAAATTTTCTTTTTAAAAGATATTTGTTTTATGTATTTGAGTGTTTGTCTACATGTATATATGTGTACCATGTGTGTGCCTAGTGCCATAGAGTCCAGAAGAGGACATTGGACCCCCTGGAACTGGATTTATAGTCAACCGTGTGTAACAATGTGGGTATTGGTAACTGAAACAAGGTTCTCTGGAAGAGCAGCAAGTGCCCTTAATCAGAGCCTCTTCAGCCCTTCAGGCTTTCCTTTATCTCAGAAGCCAGTCAGGCACATCACTTGTGTGAGAACCTGGAACCCGAGGTCAGGCTAGCAGTTGAAAGCCAAGCATTGACTTACTATGTAGTCCTCATCTTCATCCTTAGGGCCAGGGCTGTAATAGACCCTATATGCTCTGGCCACTCCATCAATCTCTTCTTTTGTGCCAGTCAAACCAACCAGTTTGGGAGAGAATTCTAAATATAAAAAATGAAAAAGACAGTGAAAATGAAAGGCAAGAAACATAACTATCTTTATTTAAAATAAGATCAAAATAACAGAAAAACATACATAAATAAAACCCTAATAAACAAAAACCAGTATAAAGCAGATATGGTGACATTTTGTTCCTTAGTCTCCAACATTTCTGCATGATTTAAAGGAAAATAAACTCAGAGAAATGAAAATTCTCCCATGACAAATGTTGGATTGTTTTGTGACCATAACATAATAGAGATCTGGAAGAAATATATTCTAGTTATTTAAATGATGTTTTAAATTAATTTAGTTAAAAACATAAGCAGTTGAGGATTCCTAATGTACTTCAGGGTTTTCACTGGATCATACGGAAAGAAACATAGTTTAAGAAGCTGGTAAGAGAAAATGGAAAGATCTCACATGCTCTTGGATAGGTAGGATCAACATAGTAAAAACAGCAATCTTGCCAAAAGCAATCTACAGATTCAATGCAATCCCCATCAAAATCCCAGCACAATTCTTCACAGACCTTGAAAGAACAATTCTCAACTTCATATGGAAAAACGAAAGACCCAGGATAGCCAAAAACAACCCTATACAATAAAGGAATGTCCTGGAGGCATCACCATCCCTGACTTCAAGCTCTATTATAGATCTATAGTCCTGAAAACAGCTTGGTATTGGCACAAAAACAGACAGGTAGACCAATGGAATCGAACTGAACACCCTGATATTAACCCACACACCCAACTGATTTTTGACAAAGAAGCTAAAATTATACAATGGGAAAAAAAATCTTCAACAAATAGTGCTGACATACATGGATACTGGCATGTAGAAGACTGCAGATAGATCCATATCCATCTCCATGCACAAAACTTAAGTTCAAATGGATCAAAGACCTCAACATAAATCCAGCCACACTGAACCTCTTAGAAGAAAAGGTAGGTGGTACCCTCAAACGAACTGGTATAGGAGACCGCTTCCTGAACATAACACCAGACACTGAGATCAACAATTAATAAATGGGACCTCCTGCAACTGAGAAGTTTCTGTAAGGCAAAGGACACAGTCAACAAAACAAAATGGCAGCCCACAGAATAGGAAAAGATGCTCACTAACCCCACATCTGACAGAGGGCTGATTTCCAAAATATACAAAGAACTCAAGAAGCTAGTCACCAAAACACCAAATAATCCAATTAAAAAGTGAGCTACAGAACTAAATAGAGAATTCTCAATAGAGAAATCTAAAATGTCTGAGAGACACATAGAAAGAAAGTGCTCAACATCCATAGCCATCCTGCAAATCAAAATAAATCAAGAGATATCATCGTGCCCCTGTCAGAATGGCTATACTCAAAAACACCAATGACAGTTTATGCTGGAGAGGATGTGGAGAAGGGGAACACTCCTCCACTGCTGGTAGGAGTGCAAACTCTTACAGCTACTTTGGAAATCAGTATGGAGATTCCTCAGGAAAATGGGGCATCAGTCTACCACAACATCAAGCAATCCCACTTTAGGCATATACCCAAAAGATGCACATTCATATAACAAGGACATCTGTTCAACCATGTTTGTTCATAGCAGCATTATTTGTAATAGCCAGAACCTGAAAATAACCTAGATGCCCCTCAACTGAAGAATGGATGGAGAAAATGCGGTACATTTACACAATGGAGTACTACTCAGCAGAAAAACAAAACAAAACAAAACAATGGAATCTTGAAATTTGCAGGCAAATGGATGGAACTAGAAGAAACCATCCTGAGCAAAGTAAACCAGTCACAAAAAGACAAAAATGGTATATACTCACTCATATATGGATTTTAGACATAGAGCAAAGGAGTACCAGGCTACAATCCACACTGCCAGAGAAGCTAGGAAACAAGGAGGACCCTAAGAAAGACAGACATACATGGTCCCCTGGAGAAGGGGAAAGGGACAAGCTCTCCTGAGCTAATTGGGAGCATGGAGGGTGGTAGAAGAGAGGGGGAGAAGAGGAGGGGAGAGGAGGACAGAGGAGAGCACAAAGATTGAGTCAGGGGAAGAATAGAGGAGATCAAGAAAAGAGATACCATAATAGAGGGAGCCATTATAGGTTTAAACAGAAATCTGGCACTAGGGAAATGTCCAGATATCTATAAGGATGACCCTAACTAACAATCTAAGCAATAGTCCAGATCTGCCTTAAATGCCCTTCCCTGATAATGAGATTGATGACTACCTTATATGCCATCCTAGAGCCTTCATCCAGTAGCTGATGGAAGCAGAAGCAGACACCCACAGCTAAACACTGAGCTGAACTCTGGAATCCAGTTGCAGAGAGGGAGGTGTGATGAGAGCAAAAGGGTCAAGACCAGACTGGAGAAATCCACAGAAACAGCTGACCTGAACAAGGGGGAGCTCATGGACTGATAGCCGGGAAACCAGCATAGGACTGTTCCAGATCCCCTGAAAGAGGATGTCAGTTTGGGGGTCTGGTTAGTCTATAGAGCTTCTGGTAGTGGATCAGTATTTATCCCTAGTATATGAATGGACTTTGGGAGCCCACTCCCCTCTCTCTCAGCCTAGACGTACGTGCGTGCATGCGTGCGTGTATGTGTGTGTGTGTGCGTGTGTGTGTAGGGTGTAGGCCCTGCTCCAAATCATATGACAGACTTTGAAGATACGCCATGGAAGGCCTCACCCTCCCTCCCTGGGGAGCAGAAAGGGGATGGGATAGGCTGTCAGTGGAGGGGAGGGGGGGCAGGAGAGGAGGGGAGGGAGAGGGAACTGGGATTGACATGTAAAAGAAGTTTGTTTCTGATTTAAATAATTAAAAAAAGAAGGTGGTAAAATGGAGCAGTGGGTGTGAAAGGTTTGTGTGGTGGCCTGAAAGAAAATAGCCCCCAAAGGAAGTGGCACTATTACAAAGTGTGGCCTTGATGGAGTAGGTATGCTCTGGTTAGAGGAAGTGTGTCACTGTGGAAGTGGGCTTTGAGGTCTCATATATGCTCAAGACACCACCCAGTGTCTCAGACCACTTTCTGCGGTGCCTGTGAGTCAGGACTCTCAGCTACTGCTCCAGCACCATGTCTGTCTGCATGTCACAATGTCACACCATGATGATGATGAACTAAACCCCTGATAATGTAAGCCACCCACTTAACTGTTTTCCTTTATAAGTAATAGAAACCCTAACTAAGACAGATGGGGAGGTCTCAGTCTGAAACAGGTTGTCTTCATCAGACCAACTCCCCTCACGGCTCAGAACCCACATGGAAGAGGAAGTGGAAAGACTAAGAGACAGAAGGGATGGATGGCTCCAAGTAAACAGTGTCTTCCAAAGACAACAGGCCTGAGGCAGGTATGAACTCAGAGACTGTGACAGCATGCATAAGACCTGCACATGTTCAAACTGGACAAAATCTGGGCACTGAGGAGGGAAAGTGGACACAAGTCCCACCCCTAGTCAAGCAGCTATCTGTAACTCATAATGAATGGGGAAAGGAACATCAGTTTTCTGCAGTCAAGTGCTCATGACAGTATCAACCACTCTCTAGGGCCAGCCCATGCTCAGGAGGATTCAGCGGCGGCCAACACGAAATAGACTCCATGTTCTTTTTTTTTTTCTTTTTTTGAGACAGGGTTTCTCTGTGGCTTTGGAGGCTGTCCTGGAACTCACTTTGTAGACCAGGCTGGCCTCGAACTCACAGAGATCTGCCTGCCTCTGCCTCCCGAGTGCTGGCATTAAAGGCGTGCGCCACCAATGCCCGGCCTCCATGTTCTTTTTTGTAAACTTTTGTTCCACTGTTTGTTGAACATTTTTTGTGCTCTTGGTTTTTGTCTGTTTTTAAAAATTGTTTGTTTTAGAGGTGGGAGAAAGAACATGAGGTTGGATGAGTAAGGAAGACCTGGGAGGAGCTGGGTGGGAAACATGATCAAAGCAGATTGCATGAAAAAAACTTTGTTGTTTTTTGAGAATTTTGAGACAAGGTCTCTCTATGTAGCTCTGGCTGTCCTAGAACTCTGTGCAGACAAAGTTGGCCTCTAATTCATAGCTCCCCAAATGCTGGGATTAAAAGTGTGCATAATTAATAACAACAACAAAAAGATCATTCAGGGGGTACCTATAGCCAATAATAAAATCCATACAAAAACAAAACTCATGGCTATGGGCAACTCAGTCATAGAACTGTAAGTTTCTTAAAACAGTAGAATTAAACAGGGAATGGTGGCACACACTTTTAATCCCGGCACTCCAGAGGCAGATGGATCTCTGAGTTCAAGGTAACTTAGTCTACAGTGATTTCCAGGGCAGCCAAAGGCAGTTAAAGTCACTTTAAATAAACAAACAAACAAACAAATAAATAAATAAGCACCAAGTAACCTCCCCCAAAACAACAACATAAAGGCTAACTTCAAATTTGTTTACACTCTAAAATTCATCTTTAATCTTCCATTGTACATACTCCTGATGTACGTTTCTCCACTTTAACAAAAGGACAGTGAGACACAGAGTTAGAAGCAATGCACTCTCATTCCCCCCTTAACTTAGGTATACGTAAAGCTCAAGTTCCAGCCCTTCCTGTGATAAAAGCAAAGAGCATAGCACCAAGAATGGGCAACTAAACACAGCTGTAACTCTGAGCTCCGTTGTTTTATTTGCCTGCAAAGGGTTGATAATACCAACTGTCTATCTTGGTTTACTGCTACAAACTGTTAAGTATGTATAAATTATCAGCAAAACACACCTTTCACATAAGTCGAGATGGCTTCTTTTGTGTCCCTTTCTGGGTCAATGGTGATGAAAAGTGGAGTTAAATTTGGCAGGGATGGAATACTGTCTGAAAGAAAGCTCCAATTAGTCAACAGTCACCATGAGGGAAAAGACAGAGAGAAACCCAGCAACATAGACGATGGTGCTATAGTGAATGTCAGGCAACACAGAGGACAGATTAGATTATCTGGAATGGAGTAGTTTCTGTCTGTGGTGGAGCTAACCAGAAGTTCTATCAAACACATCTACTGATACATAAATACTGTTACCTCAGATCACTTCTCACAGGTATCTTATTTCCTAATGCAATCCAATCCCAGTAGTTTTTCTTACCATATCTCAAGGACAAGGTAAGCTATCAATAAAGATGGGATACACTGAAACAATTTAAACAGGTACACTTTCTTTTAACTGCTTTTAACTGACACTAATAAAATACCACTTATCACTTCAGATTTCTGAATCTACCCATCAATGTCACTGGGGAAACACAATGAGAATACTTCAGTAAAAGATAGAGGCATTAAGACATTTTTAAGTGATCTGACACATGGCACCCAAACAAGCCTCCTTCGGTAGAGAGTGTCCTGGAATCAAAGCATACAGCTGAACATGTTCTTATAGACCAAATAATTACAACACCCTGTCTAACACACTACAGGAATGTGGGAAACAGTACTGTTAAACAGTGAATTAACAACTGTTTTCTTACCTATTTCATCCACAACTTGAATCATTTTTTCTAGTTCTTCTGGACAGATATCAGGGCAATGAGTGAATCCAAAATAAATCAATACCCACTGGCCCAGGTAGTCCTTGTCAGTTTTGGGCTCTCCATCATGAGTGGTGAGGGAAAATGGACCTCCTAGTAAAGGCTTTCCAATGCTTCGATGTTTTTGCTTCTCTAGCTCTTAAAGAGATGGACCAAACAAAACAAGTCACTGTAACCAGAGTCACTGAAATATCTGTCACAGAGTGAGCATAATACATGTAACAGTATTTAGACGGGGTAGGAGGTATAAAATACAAAAGAAATACCAGCTTTCAAGACACTAACAAAAATATTTTCAGAAAAATAAGCATAAAATAAGAAAATGAATGCTATAACACATGTCAAGCACCATAATGAAGTGGTAAAATGTGTTCTCCTATAACAATTGAGTTCTAAGCTGTTCAGTGTGGGGGTGAGGGAGCCTGGAGGCTGGGTGTGCTAGAGGCAGCTTCATAGGAAAGGCAGTGGTGATGGGACCTTAGTTTTATATAGAAGATTAACTAAATAAACAAAGCAAACAAACAAAAAGGAAGCCAGAACTATGAACCGGAGAAAACTGGAACATCTCTGTAGTATTAAGACAATCAGGTACTGGTGTGAGTTTATGGTTTCAATATATAGGGATTCTCCAACTAAAAGGAAAGAGTTAAGAGTTATTTTTGTTGTTGAGAAATGCTGAAATAAGCTGAAACAGTAAAAGAGAGCCAGTGGCAGAAGGAAAAACCCAAAGACTACCCAAAACAGGATCCTGTGTGACCAAGCTCTGTTCTGGTTTCATTTTTGATGCTGTGATAAAATATTCTGTCAAATAGAAACTTAGGGTCAGGTGGTGGTAGTGCCCACCTTTCATCCCACCCCATGGGAGGCAGAGGCAGGTGGATCTGGTCTATAAATCGAGTTCTGGGACAGTCAGAGCCACATAGTGAGACTCTGTCTCAAATACAAAACAAAAACAAAAAAGAAACTCAGATGAGAAAAGGTTTATTTTATCTAACAATTTCCTGGAAATTGTCTATGTGTAGGGCAGTCTTAGTGAGAGGGGCTTGCAGCAACTAGTCATATCATACCCACATTCTAGAGAAGAGAGAAATAAAGTATGGATGGATGGTATTTAGCTAGCTTTCACTATTCTTACAAAGTACAGGGCCCCAAAGGGGGCTGCCTGCCACTTTCAGGCTGGGTTTTCCCAAGTCAATTAGGGAAATCAAGAGAATCCTCAAGGTTGTGTATGTCCACAGGTCAACCAGATCTAGCTGACGCCTCAATGAGACTCTTCCCAAGTGGTTCTAGGTTGTGTCAAGCTGACAATTAAAACAAACAAAGCAACTAAGCAAAAGCTCCCATAAGTTACTTTGGAATTAAAAGAAAAAGAACAGATCACAACCAACTGAAAATATAGCAAATGACTAGTCTATACTGACAAAAATAAAGGAATAAATTTAGAGTGATGAGAACAGTCACACAAACACATTGTAAAACACATAATTTATACAAGAGAAGGCTGACGTTGTCTTAGATGATCCAACACCATCAGTAAAAGGACAATGAGAAATCATAATGCACTTGAATAGATGCAATGACTGGTACAGTATCACTTCTATGCCAACGCTGTCAAAGGCTGCAAGGCGGGAAACGAATCATGAGGAAAGATTAGACAAGTACAGACTGATGGACAATTTACAAAACTGGCCTGTGATTTTCAAAGTTGTCAAGGTCATGAAAGTCAGGTAAAGCCTAGGAAACTTACAATCTGCAGAAACTAAAGAGACAACCAGGAACAAGGAATGGTTCTGAACTGGATGCTTTTTATCACAAAAGCAATACAGTAACAAACCTCAAGACTGAACCTGAGATTGCCTTAGACTGAACAATGGTACCATAAGTGTTAAATTTTTAAATTTTAGGTACTGATTATGTAGCAAGAAGGACACAACATATGAGGTGAGGCATGATGTCAGCAAGTAACCAAATAATTCTGGAACACTTTAGGTTTGTTTCATAGTAAATTTCAAATTAGAAGTAATTTATCACTGTAGGTGAAATTTTAAACTAAGGCCCAAAGCAGCTTACATTTAGAATCATTTGTCACTACCTTCCCAGCTTTCTTGCCCATGGTTGCTACCCCAACTGGTTTGCAGTACCTACTCACACTGTTCTCCATGCCTGACCTCTGGGAAGTTTCAGAGCCCAAGATCAAGTTTTCCTCAGGTCCCCACAGACCCCTGCACTTTCCTCTGGCCTGGAAGAACCTCATCTAGTGAAATCCTGGGTTTCTGTGTCTGTCTCCTTGTCAACTGCACCCCAACAGTTGGACACCTTAGTCATCTTTGTACCCATTCTCTGGATTTCCAACTGCCCACATTCAATCTATTCACAGTTGTCTTTCAAAACTATTAAGCAGTGTCATTTTGGAGTCCATCCCTGAAAAGTTAAAGACACTGATGGAAAATGTGCAAAATCCAATTAAATGCTGTATCCCAGTTAATTATATCAATTTTAATTTCTTAGTTGTGTCCTGACCATATAAGATGTCAAAACTAGGAGAGGGGTTGGATGAAAGGTATATGGAGGCTTTCTTTTGTCATCTTTGAAACTCTTCAAAATTAATAAATCTACATTATTTAAAAACAAATAGGTCAGGTCAACAGCTCAGTAGATAAAAATGTTTGATATAAAAACTTAGGCTCAATCTCAGGAACCCACCATCGAAGGAAAAAACACACTAGAACCAAATCCCAAAAGTTGTCTTCTGGCTTCCACCATGGCATGCATGCACCTGCACTCACAGAAACACAGTTAAAAATAAACAAACAAAAGTTTAAAAACAAAAAGATGGTCCAAAAGATAACAACTTACTTTCTATCTTTTCTTTCTTGAAGTACTTCATTCCAGCCAATAAAGATCCTCCAATGGCAAAAGTCAGTGCTAAAGACTTCCAAGAAACGGGCTACTGGGGCAGAGATTTCAACAATAGACCACGTAAGCTGCAAAAATTTAACCATGCTGTATTTTTTTACTCTAAGTTTTTATAGCAAGTATATACACACAAACCATTGTTACATACGTTGAATGCCTCGGGTTACTTTGGGGTAAATCCTGAAAGTTTCTGTGAATACAGTTATAGCTACTACAAAAGCACTTGTTTCCAGGGAAATCTTACCGAAGTTAATTTAAAAATCAATAAGGGTTGAAGACGGAGCTGAAGTAATTGGTACAATGCTTGCCTGACATGTACAAAACCCCTGTGTTCCATGCCAAGCACTGCATAAAACCGGGTGTGGTGATACACACCTGTAATCGTAGCACTCTAGGAGGGCAGGAGGATCGAGCTCAAAGTCATTCTTGGCTGCATATCAAGTTCTAGGACAACCTGAGCTATAAGAGACCTGGTCTCATCAAACATCACAAAGCCTGCAATTTATTACTGGCTTATGCTGATACGGTAGTCTTTAAAATGTTTGCTTAAGATTTCTCCTACTCCCCAAATCCACAGTTCTTACTAACACAAGTAAGGAAGAGGCTCTGAATTTGAGACAGAATTAGAACGAGAAGAAGATAAAAAGGAACAGGGGAAAAAGGGAGGAAAGAAGGAAGGTGTGGGGATACCCAAACGATAAGTTCATCTTTTTATTCAATTTCAACTTATACACTGAACATTGGAGCGGGATTCAGTGAGATTATAAAAGTGCTCTGGCTTTTGAGTCATAATAAAAGTTGAGATCCTTAAGATCCAGAACTATTTTTTTTTTCCTGGAACAAAACTCCGGATTGAAATCGCGCGGAGGGGAAGTAGATTCTCAAGTTTTATCGAGGCTGGGACTATGAGCTTGACCAGGAAACAGTTCTGTAAAGGCTAGAACTACCGGGTGACCAAGAAGCAAGAAGTGACTTCATGGTCCTTTCAGAGCACGTCAGGGAGTTCCCGAGGTTGTGACCAGGCGGGATGCGGAGACACCGGGCTGCATAGAGCGCCGAGCCCCGAAGGTCCCATGTAGACACTCACCCCGGGCTTCGGGCGGCGCGACCCGGCTTGGCCGCCCTTGGGCTCGGGCCCCTTGGCCTCCGGCGGTGGCGGCGCGACGCTGAAGGCCCGGATCCCCAGACAGCAGCGCGCCTCTCGCGGCCGCGGACTCCCCGCCGGACCCCAAAGCCCGTGGCCATGAGGGAACAGACACCAGAGCTGGCGACACTGCGGCCGCATCACCGCACAGGACAACCGCACCAACGCCGCCATGAGTTTAGGAGACCGCGCCTACTTTGGGGCCGCCCCTCCATTTCCGCAGGAGCTTCCGCTTCCGCCGGGCGAGGACGCTCTTTCCTCTCGACTCGATGGTGATGAGGTTTATCCGCGGGTTGTCAAGGAGTCCAGGGCTGTTGTGCGGCTGCAAGCGGTAGGTGTTTCTGCCGGTTGGAAACGGGTGGTGCGGGCTGTAGGACCCTGTCCTGGGCCTGGCGGCGGCTGGAACAAACAAACATGAACGAACATCGCAAGGCCGGACGATGGGGACTAGGAGGTCCCGGGTCTCCTAGCGGGCTTCGCTCCTTCGAGCTGCAGGAAACTGAGAACCCCCTCCTCCCCAGCAATCTAAAAATCGGCCCGGTAGAGCTGCGGAGGTCTCGGACCCCAAAGTAGAAAGTCGTCCCGTGACGTTTGAAATACGATAAGACTTTGAGTGTCCAGGGTGATAAGGATTTAAGACCCTCACGCTTCCAACAACGGTACAAGCTGCCGGAGAGCAAGGCACTGCAAGTGTGCTGCGCCATACCCATCCTTCATTAAGCCTTCAGTGGCTCGTTTCTTTAAACGGTCTCACATCCACCCCCAAACCCCCATTTTTTTTGTTAAGTTTTGATTGCATTTATTATTGAGGTAGTGTGTGCCACAGCACGATGTAATGTAATAGTACAGCTTCCACAAGCCAGTTCTCCGTCCGCTATGAGAGTCACGAGGAATGGATTTAGGCCATCAGGCTAAGGTACAGGTGCCCTCACCTTACCTCCTGAGCCATTTCATTGACAAAAGTACCAAATTCTTTTTAATGGTGCCAAACCCCCATTTTAAAGTTTGTCGAAAGTTTCCTCGTCTGGGACTGCTTAGTTAATTGGCTGCAGACACATACTTGTTTTTCGTTCCTCGAGAAATTTTAACTAGTATTCCGTTCATTTGCTTATTATTATTTGCTTTGCACGTACTGGGCAAATATCCCTAGCTTGTTAGCTGCTCTTGTTTATGTCTTAGTGTCAGCAACTTTTGCCCTTCCCACCCCACCCTGCTTCTGCGGTGGTGTGTTGGTTTGTAAACCAACACCCCCCCCTGCTCTCTAACACTGTAATTACTGTTGTAGTTTAATGGTATTTGTTTCTTCTCAAGTTGATGTGGAATCTTCTGAAATTTATGCTCAAAGCTAGTAGAAATCGTTTTTGTTTTGTTTTTTTTAATAAAGCATTGTTGAAGTTTATGAAAGGATTTTAATACAGATTTTAAGAGCCGGGGTTAATAAAAAGATGCTTGGGAGGAGAGTACACACCCAAAAGCATGGATGTGGGGCTCTCAGAAAAGTCACACTTAAGTGTCTATAACAGATACATATATGTAAATAATTTTAATGGCGTCTGAAGTTATCCTCTGTAAGAACAGTCTTCACTCTTAATTTTTGAGCCATTGCTCCAGCCTATGAATTTATTTTGTAAGATTTATTTTACGAGGGTGTGCCTATATGGTGTGTGGTGCCCTCAGATGTCAGAAGAGGACTTTGGACCCCTTCGAGGTAGAGTTGCAAGTAATTGTGAGCCACCTAGTATGGGTACTGGGATCTGAACTGTTTCCCAAGAATGAGCAGCAAACACACTTAACTACTGAGCCATCTCTCCAACCCCCAAGAAAGATTTCAATGATTAAGTAGATTTTTAAAAAGGCAATAATGTAAAGTTGTATTCATTGAATATGTATTATACCAACAGCACTTAAAAGAAAAACAAAGACACAAAGTAAGATTTCAGTTACTGATCTTTAAAATGAGGCTGAGCTTTGTTTAAGAGGGTAAGGATTTTTCTCTCCTCTGAAAAGAGCTTTCAGTCTTCTCATGGTTTGGAGGTAGAAGAGATCTTATCGTGGGGTGCTCTTGAAGCAACACTACATTAGGGACTGTCCCTTTGCCGCTGCCAGGAAAGATGGCAGCCCCAGTGGGGCAAGAGCAGGAAGCACAGCTTCCACTGCCTATAGCAGTCTCGGGTACTCTCTTCAGAGCCCTCTGCTCCTGCAGAAAGGAGTTTCAGAATGGATCACTATGATGCATATTTGGAGTTTCTTACGAGCTATTACAGATCTAAGCATGAGAGTTAATAGGAAAGAGGCACTTGGGAGAGCCACAAGAGCATGGCTGCGGGCTTCTCAGGAGAGTAGCTAGTAGGGTTCTTAAATTTCTGCTTAGCATGTTGGATCGCTGTCGGTCAAAACTTTTTTTTTTTCCTCCTGGGGATGACTCAGTGAAAGGTTTGCTCCCTTTCTATATCCACATGTTTTTGCCTAGGGCAAAGTTTCAGTCCTGGACTCAACTATAGGGTATGTGATTAAACTCACATACAAATTTAAGTTCAGTTTGAAGTTGTATTCAACCCATCCATTAAATTCTGTTAGCCAGGAATTTTACTACTGGCTCTACTCTCCGTTGTATGTGTTTACCAAAGTGTCTTTATCTGTTGGATAAGAATCTGTATTTGTAACCAGCTGTTGAATGAATACCTAGTAATACCACTAAGCCAGACTCCATAGAGCCCTGGTGTGGTGTCTGTGCCACGAACATGTCCGAGATATCGGGAACTGAAGGACACGACGTCTGACTGTGCTAAGAGAATGTGTCTGCCGCCTTTATTGCCAGGAGAATATGAGTGTGTATGTGCCGTATTTGTATGTCTGCCTGTGTGTCTGCCGTAAGTAGTGAGCAGCCTTATATACAGACTTACAGCACAGTTGAGACACCCCAGGTGTAAGAGCTTATGTTTTCCTTGTGCTAGATATTGATGTCAGGTGGGCAAGACCGGGCTGTAAGCCAGGACTAAAGAACAGGATGCACCTGTGACTATCAGTTGACAAGCAATGCACAGAAATCCATGGGGGCTGGGACCCAACACCCTGGCAAAAGTAGCATGTTGTGTGTGTAAATCTGGAACTTACATTATTAACAGAAACCACCAAGGTATCAGATGGATTTGCTTACACTTTAGGAACTTCTCTTGAGAGAGACAGGGCATACATAGTACCATTTGATGCTTATTGTATCATTAGTTGACAAGGCCACTTAAATTGTGTGCTAGTTTGAGTGGGATGGGCTAAACTGGCAGTTTTCTGAACTTCCTGGCACTGTAACATGTCTGCTTCACTGTAACATGTCTGCTTCATTATAGATCTAGACTTTTGTGCCCAATCACAAGCATGCCCTGCCTCTCACTTCCTCTTATTGACTCTAACATTGTGGAGTACTTTCCTCTGAGTGTGTTTGGGGTATTTTGTGGAGATGGGTATTGCGAAAAAGTTCTTGTCACTCGGTTGCTTATTCTCCATTTCCCGACTAGAGAAGGATTTGGGTTTCTGGTCTCTGTCCACAAGAGCCAGTCTCTCAAGCCCTCTTACAGCTATTTTCTTGAACCGTAAAGAACAGCCCAGAACTAACAAAGCATAATTTCTCTGCATGCTTTGTTCTCTTTGCCCACCCTTAGTCACTGTGATCCTAACTGTCTGTCTTTGAATGTGGTCGGGTCCTTCCCTCTGGATTTTCTTTCCTATAACAGGTCACAGTGATGTGTTGCAGAGACTCTCATGGGGATAAAAGACAGGTTCTCAGGCCTTCACTCATTACTAGTTACCCAGTAAGAGTAGTTTTGATCTTGATAGTAGTGTGTGGACCATGCCCCCCCCCCCTTACCTCCCTTATCCCCTTCTTCCTATTCTGTCATAAGTTAAAAAATACCAGCAAGTGTGGGGTGATTACTATGAGGTCTCTAGAGATGAACTGGTCATGATCTGTGTCTTATACAAGAAAAAGATGTCTGGAGACATAGGAAATTTTTGCAAATGCCACATCATTGACACTGGTAATGAAGTTTCTATTGGTTTCAGGGCTACTGGTAAAACCAGGAGACAGAAATTGGTAGAAGGAAATTGACTTATATGAGGGGTGAGAGGGTGGACAGTTGCTGAGGCTTCTAAGAGATACAAGTAGTTACACTGAGATAATATGTAATTATCCCCTGTGCTGGGCAGTTTTTTTCTTTGAAAGTCAGAGCTGACCCAAGACTTTCTGGGAATGGCACCTGTATTTTCTCTTCAGAGCCTCTGTTTTTCTGCCGGTCAACTCAGGTTAGTTGAGGAGAGAGAGGCTGCTGCTAGAAATGAATGCCCTTTGAACTCAGAGAAGCAGGTGAGAGGAAGTGGGTCTGTAGAAGAAGAGCAGAAGTAATCTTTTGCTCTGCTTACATTACACATCAAGGCAGATCAAAAGGGAAGACGAGCTTCTCTGCTAAGCATTTCCTGAAGAGAACCCTAAGTTTCAGGCTCACTCTGTCACCAGTAGGAGGACTTGCCAGACGCAGCACCTCTCAAGCAGCCCATTAAAATGTTTGTTCTGTCTGTTGACTTGGTCCCGCATCCTCGTCCTTTTTCTTGTCAGGTAAATCTTTTGCCTGGACACCCCCCCCCCACACACACACATTTAACTTGTCTTATTATTGTAATTAAGGATCCCTTGTGTCTAGTATCACCAGTCTGATTTTATGTTTTCTGTTGATTCAAGATGATTTAGTTAATAACACTGTATAACCCCTTTCATTGACCTTAATTTTTGTGATGAACTCATATATATTTTGCCCAAGGCTGTCCTTGAAATCATCATCCTCCTGCCTTGGCCTCCAGAATGTAGGGATTACAGGCATAATCTAATGAAAAACACTCTTTAAATAAATTAAAGAAGAAAGAAAATATTTGTGTGACATATATGTGGTTACTTGTGTGCCACAGTGCACATATAAAGGTCACCGGACAACTTGGGGACTGGGGTTCACTCTTTCCACCATGTTGATCTTAGGAATTGAACTGAGCTCGTTATGCTTGGCAGTTAGCAAGTACCTTTACCCAGTGAGCCATCCGGTGACAACAGTTTCAGGGTGAGGAGAGTCCTTCATTCTCCTGTCTAGCTGTGGTCTGACATCTGGGATGAGTGTGGAGCTGGATCCTCTCTGTCAGGGGTACACTTAAACTGGGATTAAGTAGGAACTCCAGACCTAGGCAGAGCAGGTGGTTGGCAACCAGGAGTCAGAAGATTTTAGAAAGTCAGAGGACTTTTTAGAAGGTCTTAATCCTTTCAGATAGTACTATAGTGGTTTATTTCTCATAATAAGAATAGTTGATAATTTGGTAATTTGGCCTTTTACGTTTGTCATAATCCCAAGTATTCTGGGTTATTTTAGAGTTACAAATACTGTTTATAAATAACCTAATAAGATTCTTTTCCCAAGTTTAAGTGGAGATTATGTGTTAAATGAAAAGACTTGTTTTCTGTTTCTGGTTCAAGGGTGGGGATTGATTCTAAGATTAGGAAAACTGGTTCAAATTAGAATTCAGCTGTTGAAGCAGGGCCTGCTGCTCATGGAAAGGACAATGCTTACATTGATGTCATAATGTTTGTATTTTTATTTATGTATTTCTGTATGATTATGCACACATATATTTGAGACCCCTGGGAGGCCAGAAGAAGATAACAGCTGCCTTGTAGCTGGAGTTTTAGGGAGTATGAGCTTTCTGACATTGGTGCTAGAAATTCTGGTACCTGCAGGAAGGTCTCTAAACCACTGGGTATCTCTCCAACCCCTGCACTGACTTTTTAAATTTTTAAATTATTCTTCTTGGTATTAGTTACTTTTCTGTTGTGATTTTTTAAAATGGTCAAAAAATAACTTAAGGAAGAGTTTATTTTGGCTTACAGTGCATAGGTATAAGAATCTTTTGTATCCCAGTGAGGTGGCACACGCCTTTAGTCCCAGAACTCTGGAGGCAGAGGCAAGCAGATCTATATGAGTTCTAGGATAGCCAGGGCCACATAGAGACCCTATCTCCAATATCTCCAATACCTTCCTACCCCACCCCGTGTGTATTGTAGCAGGCAGGCATGGTGGCACAACAGAAAGCTGAGAGATCACATTTAATAGCAGCATGAACCAAGAGTGAACTGGAAGTTGGAGAAGGCTTTAAGCTCAAAAGCCCACCCTCACTGGACTACTTATTTCAACAAGGTTGCAGCTCCCCATAATGCCTCCAACTGGGGGTGGGACACCAAATTCCTGAGCCTCTGTGGACATTCCTCCTTTCCTATACATATCACTGCTTTCCCTTACTACTTCAGATGCAAAAAGAAAGAGAGACTGATTCTGCAGGCTGCTAATCAACAAAGAGAAAAGACTTGGCCTGCTTGAATATTTCAGGGTGGAGGTCTGCAATGGAAAGTAGAGAGGATGAGTGTGATTGTGATGGTACATGCAATGGGTGAGGTTTTGGTGGAATTGTTTGACTCAGGAGGATGTATGTCCTCATTTTAAATGGGTAGAAAGTGAGAAATGATTCCAAATTTGAATTTGACTGTTATAGTTGGAATTCCTGATGATCAATATGATAGTGCCCTTTTATAAGTTGTTAGTCTTCTGAGTGACAGAAGTTATCATCTTTTTACGGATGAGGATTGAAGCATTCTAGAGCTAAGACATTGACTTCCAGAGCCCACACACTTGTCCATCTGTCTTGCTCTCTAGTCAATTAACCTATTTGTCATTTTCTTCTATCCATTGGATAGCTGCAATATTTTAACATGGATATCTTTTCCCTCCCATTAGCTTTTTTAGAAGCCTGTTTGGAGGTTATGGCTGAAAAGTTGGACCCCGATGCCCTGGCTGATGGTTCAGAGCCACTTTTTTCCTTTGGAATTATAGCAGATATTCAATATGCTGATTTAGAAGATGGATTCAATTATCAAAGAAGCAGGCGGAGGTACTACCGACACAGTCTTGTTCACTTACAGGGTGCCATTGAAGACTGGAATAAAGAGAACAGCCTGCCCTGCTGTGTCCTACAGCTCGGAGACATCATCGATGGCTACAATGCACAGTATAAAGTATCAGAAAAGTCTCTAGAACTTGTCATGAACACATTCCAAATGCTTAAAGTTCCCGTTCACCACACATGGGGAAACCATGAGTTTTATAACTTCAGTAGAGACTTCTTAGTGAACTCTAAACTTAACAGCAAGTTTCTAGAAGACCGAATTGTACAACATCCTGAGACCATACCATCAGAGAACTATTATGCTTATCACTTTGTACCCTTTCCTAAATTCCGGTTTGTTTTACTTGATGCTTATGACCTGAGTGTCTTGGGCATAGATCAATCTTCTCCAAAATATGAGCAGTGTATGAAGATGCTGAGGGAGCACAACCCAAATGTGGAGTTAAATAGTCCCCAAGGTGAATTATTGCTTTGAGCTGAGAATCTAATACATTGTCTTTAAATTCTTCAGCTACCTTTTATTCAGCAGGAAGATGGATAATTAAGGTAAAAGTTTATTGTCGCTGTTGTTCAGGGTCAGGATTCTTATAAGCTTGATGTCACATGAATTGGTTATAAGTAATTCAAACTTCAGACATTTAAATGCCCAACCTGGAATAAGATAATAAGATATGTGTGTATGTGTTTGTGTGTGTGTGTGTGTGTGTGTGTGTGTGTGTGTGTGTGTGGAGAGAGAGAGAGAGAGGAACCATAGCACTAGATAAGTAGAGTAGATAATAAATATATTTGTTAGCTTTCCATCACTGATTAATACCTAAAATAGCTGGACATTGGTGGTGCACATCTTTAATCCCAGCACTTGGGAGGCAAAGGCAGGCGGATCTCTGTGAGTTTGAGACCAGCCTGGTCTACAAGAGCTAGTACCAGGACAACTTCCAAGGCCACAGAGAAACCCTGTCTCAAAAACAAAACAAAAAAACAAAACAAGCAAACAAACAACCAAAAACCAAAACCTAAAATAATCAACTTACAAGGAGGAAAGCTCTGTCTTGGCTTATAGTTTGTGGGGGTTTTAGTCCGTAGTTCCTTGGCCTGGTTGCATTTGGGCCTGTGGTGAAACAGCATCTTATAACAGGAAATACATACTAGAGCAAACCACTTACTCATAGCCTGGACACAAAGTGGGAAAAGAGGACCTGAGCTTGTAGTCTCTCTTGTGACTTGACTTCTTCCCTCACTAGTTCCTGCTTCTAAAAGATGCTACCAACTCTTAGTAGCAGCACAGTTTATGACCAAATCTTCAGTAGTGAGCCTTATTGAACATTTCAGATCCAAACTATAGCAGTAAATGAAACAAAAGTAAGATTATCTCCTCATGATAACTGTGCTGGGAAAATGGAGTGTGTTACAGCAAAGAACTAGGGATGTTCTTTTAGATTAGGTGAGCAGACAGAGGTGCTCCCTGGACTCAAGTGTTCAACATGTTGTCTAGGGATTTACACTTTGAAAGAGTGGGATAGGAAGCTGGCAGGTCCAGGGGTCCAGGGAGACAGAAATGCAAGGGTACGGAGTTGCATAAAACTTTGGCATTGTTAAGCAGCACAGGATCCAATGGGGTGAAGGTGTCAGATACAGTACTGTGTAGTAGGACCTGGAGGACATAGTAAGGGGGTTGCATTTTCAATGTAGTGGAAAACCAGTGAAATAAGCCGAGAAGACCAAGACTAGAATTCACATCGCTGTATTTATATATTGCTCTACATTCCTAAGATGGTGATCAGATAGCTCTAAAGAACATGCTCTCAATGTTAGCAATACTTGAATGTCCAAAGGAGGGAAAATGACATGCTGCGGATCTAATTTGCTGAATTCATTCAGGACTTTCTGAGCCCCAGTATGTCCAGTTTAATGGAGGATTCAGCCAAGAACAGCTGAACTGGTTGAATGAAGTTCTTACATTCTCTGACCAGAACCAGGAAAAGGTGGTGATTGTAAGTAAGTATGTAAATTGTTTCCTTGGTTATACCTGCATTTTTAAATTTGGAAATTATCAATGAAAAACTAGTAGTATTTGTATTTTGATACCCTCTTTCTGTTAAACAGATACTTTACATTTTTTGAGATTTTAAAATAATTTTATTTAGTATATGAATGCTTGCTTGAATATGTCTTTCTTTACTGGGTGTTTGCAGTACCCAAAAACGCCAGAAGAGGGTGTCAGTTCCCCTCTTTTGGAATTACAGACAGTTGTGAGATGACATGTGGGTGCTGGGAATTAAATCCAGGTCCTCTGGGTGAGCAGCCAGTCAGTGCTCTTAACTGCTGAGCATCTGTGAAATATAATATAAGGCTTAACATATAAGAATGAATCAGGAAAGAATTGTGAAATAACAGAACCATTTTGCCATCTATTATCGTCTCTGAGTTTCCCCTGTAGGTTTCAAAGTAGACGTTTCCCTACTGGGATCAAATTATGTACTAGTTTTAATTGAGAAATTCTTTGCAGACCCCACCAAGACTTAGCCTTAGGAGCCCCGGCTGACAGTAAAATTGCTACTACTGTGTCACTGTTGTCCAGCTGAAGCAAAGCTAGTATGAGATGTGACAGCAAGCTCTTGCAGTTCTTTGTCAGTCCCACAGCCCAGAGGCATTAGTTTCCTGCTGTTTTCACTTAAGACACACTGCTGTCGGAGATAGTAGGTAATTTGGAAGGTGAGCCTGCTCACACATGATGTCTCGATGCCATCTGCCTCTTGATTTCATGAACATTGTGAGTGTTAACAAACAAATCCTGTGAACTAGAATGCCTAGGCTTGTAACACATGAAATCATTAATGAAACTCGTTTGAAAATGATAGGCTCTTCAGGTGGTTGATTATATAAAATTGTGTTTATATCTGTAAAGTGCATTGGATAGGAGCGTGTCTGCTTCTGTTTGACCCTCCGTTTAGCCTCTTAACCTTATTATAGTAGCTCATGTCAGAGGAAGGGAGAAGGGGAGGACACACACAAGTGCTTGGGCACATGTATTTCCTCCTGCTTTAGGGGTCATTTCTCCACTCCTCTCACTTGCTTATAAACAGGTAGGTATTAAATGGAACTTGTTTGGATGTAAGGATATACAGATGAGCAGGAGCAGAGCAGAGCTAAGTGACTGGGAAGAAGCCAGGATTGGTGAGCTGTGCTTTTCCTTCAGAATGCAACTCTGACCTGGTGCCTGGTCTCAGATGGACTTTAAGTTCTGCATCTGTTCCTGTGTATTTCCTCTCGGCCTGAGGTTAATGTTCCGGACTTTAATCAGTGTTTGCAACTGCAGATTGGATTTGGCAGCCTTGATCTCCAGAGGTTCTTTGAACTGTTGCTGTTTAGTGACATTTTTATAAATCACAACCCCTGTGCAGCTCCTGAGCTATTTTTTAGAGCCATCATTCTTTATATGTAACATTCCTATTTACGGAAATCAGTGAGATTAGATTCCAGTACAGAATCCAGCTGACTCCTGGCTGCCTTTTCAGACGCCTGGAACAGGATGCCCTGGGGATTCTGTAGACCTCAGACATCATTTTCCCATACAAATGTGGCTTCCACCTTATATCTGAACCCTCTACCCATCTGTTTGTTCTGTGTGCCAGAGATGAGGCTTTAGATTGCCTGCTTGGTAGTTCAGTCTGGCTTTGAACTCATGATCCTCTTGCTGCTGCGTCCCAAATGCTGAAATTATAGAGCACATTGCCACCTTGGTCTTGGTGTGGATGAAGATGCATTGTACTTAGGTTTGGTTTTGCTGAGTACTAGCTTTCGATCTTTTTAATGAAAAACGGGTTAATTAGCTTCTAATTTTTCTTTAACAGGCCATCTTCCCATTTACCCAGAGGCCTCTGACAGTGTGTGCCTGGCTTGGAACTACATGGATGCGCTGTCAATCATATGGTCTCACAAGTGTGTGGTGTGTTTCCTTGCTGGTCACACACATGACGGCGGCTACTCTGAGGATCCTTATGGTGTGCACCATGTCAACCTTGAAGGAGTTATTGAAACAGCTCCTGATAGCCAGGCCTTCGGCACAGTTCATGTCTACCCTGACAAAATGCTACTGAAAGGGAGAGGCAGAGTTCCAGACAGAATTATGAAGTACAGTAGGGAAGAAGCTTTGTGATTTTAGTCCCATTTCTTGTCTGTCTTTGTAGAATGAGAATGGCATTATTTTGTGTTTTACTCCATTGCATACAAAGTTAAATTCTCACTGGGTATGGTGGCACACACCTTTAATCCCAGCATTTAAGAAGCAGAGGCAGGCAAATCTCTCAGTTCGAGGCCAGCCTGGTGTACAGAGTGAGTTCCAGGATAGTTCTCAGTCTCATTGTTGAGTATTCTGTGTATAAAGTACATTTGTGGCTTCAGTATGTGTGAGTGACTGTAGTATAATATAGTATTGTTGGATAATATATTTAAGTGCTGACGGCTAGAAGTAAAACAAACCAGGAAGGGAACTTGTGGGTGTGTAGTCTGATAAGGGACTGTGTTTAGCCTAATTTGAATTTCCTATTTTTTGTACAAGGAGAATGTGTTCTTGTTTTAACTTTAGAACTTAGTTAATTCTAGAACTTGTATTAACTCTAGAACCCAGGGAAGTCTGCTGTGCTTCCCTGCTGTGTGAGTGGGCTTTGAACCATTGTGATTCAGAACACCAGGACCATGTGCTGAGTGCTGGCTAGCCTGCTCTGTTTGAAATACCCAGTACTGGGGACCACAGTGTAGAAATCATTCTTGACTTCTTCTCTAGACAAATGGAGCCCACTCCACTATTGCTTGTGTCAAGGCTTAGCTGCAGAAAGTTTTGACAGCTAACAGACCATTGCAGAGTAGAGTTTGATTCAGGGCTGAAAAACAGAAATACTAGTTAACATAAGTGCCTGTGAAGCGTCTACCAGAAACAGGTACATGATTTTCTCTGACTGCCCCAGTGAATGCTTGCAAATGTGGCGGCCACCTCTCCGGGTCAGTCTAAAGATCAGGACTCTGACATCATTTCACCAGCCCTTTGAAAACAAAGGGCTGCTTTGGCCACATTCCAGTGGGAAGCTCTGGGCAGATACTCTCTTCCTTGCCACTTTAGCTGCTCAAGATGCTCTGAGTAGTCTAAGCATCTGCCCGTGTCAAGGTTCGTGATCCCATGTGGGAAGTTCATTTCACGGTGTAAGGCAACAGGGATCATGACTCTACCCAGCAGCCACAGTATGACTGTCTCGTGTTCTGTGTACACTGATGTCACCAGGATGGAAAAAGACAAACACAAATACAAATGTGAGGAATTGCCCACCCCATATAAAAGGACAAAGAATTGGAAGAGAAACTTGAATTTCATTTAAAGAGATTAGGGATGACGGGGAGAGAAGGAAGGAAAATGGTTTAGATTGGGGAAGGTCAGTGAGGGGTGGGGTTAAAGCATAGGAGGAACTCTTGGTTTCTGAGCTGTGAATGCGTGTCTAGAGAGCAAACTGATGGGCAGGCATAGGAAAAAGGAGAAGATTGTGGGGTCCTAGGGAGACGTCCTGAGAAGTGGAATGTTAAACCTGCTATGATTCTTAAATCAATAGAAAAGGTCGGAGTGTAGTCTTCACCCCTCCAAAGCCGAGCATGTGCCAGTAACTGCCATCTCAGTATCATGGCTGCCCTTTTGCTTCTGGTGAAGGCCAAGAAGTTCATCCTGTACCATTCAGACTGATTGGCCAAAACTAAGTATAACTAGCAAAATCCAGAAATAGCAAGGTGCAGAGAAGATTCCAGGCCAAAGCCTGATGCCCAGTATTGGTTTAGGGGAGGACAAAGCAACCACTGCCCAGTGGCTTTTGGAATTCCTGATAAACAGCAAGTCTCACTGTGCTGAGATCATTCAGTCCTTCCTCCAAGAACCACAAGACCCTTGTAGAGAGAGCAGAGAATCTGGCCAGCAAAGTATCCAAGCCCAAAAGCAGGCTGCACAGCAAAGAAAATGAAATGACAATTCACACGCACGTCTTATTTATGCTGAGATAAAACAGTAGACAGTGAAAGAAGAGGAAGTTTAGCCTGGCATGTTGGCTAGCTTGACCTACATAGACCCCTGCCTAGAAAAACAGTAAATAAAAACATTCCATTGGTTAGGACCAAAGCCAAGTACAGACCAAAAGTTAGTGTCTTCCATGCTTCTCTGAGGGTGCAAAAGGTACTATGAATATTTACAGCCATATTGGTTTGACATGGGGAATTAAAATACTCAATATATATTTTAATTTTGAACATATGAATCATTTACACAAAGGTCAAGCACGATTTGGAGGGTTGATAGAGCCTATATTGAATTTCCAAATGGACTGGGTTCATTCTAACTAATTCTAAAGAAATTACACAAGCTGTAATGAGCATGTGGGCTGAAGGAACACTGGGAAATTCAAACCCTTGACATGTATTTTATTGACTCAAACTGCACTGTAATTGCTTTAATATCAATTTACTTTTTCCTTGATAATCTGACTTCAGTGGCCAGTTTTCAAAAATAAATATCCTTTAGTATTTACAGAGTACCATTGCATTATAGGGTATAAAATATTATCAGAATCATTCCTTTTTCATGATAGGTACTAATTCTATTTAAAAGAAGCTGTGGTAATATCTTTCTCAAGAAGCACTTCTTAAATCTCCTGAAATGACATCTTTTCTATTGCTGAGACAAAACACCATGACCAAGGCAACTCATCTAAGAAAGCATTTAATTTGGGACATAGGGTTCTGGAGCAGTGATTCTCAGTCTTCCTAATGCTGTAACCCTTTAATACATTTTCTCATGTTGTGGTGACCCCCAAGCATAAAATTATTTTCATTGCTATTTCATTAACTGTATTTTTGCTACTGTTGTGAATTGCAATATAAATATCTAATATGAAGATGGTTTTAAGTGACCCACGGATTGAGAACTGACCCAGATGGTTAGGGTCCATGATGGCAGCACAAAGGCACAGTGGCATGAACAGCAGAGAGCTTATATCTTGTTCCAAAGGGAGGAAGAGACACTGGGAATGCCCTCAATTCTCAACCTCAGTGACTACTCCCCCAGGAAGGCCACACATTCTAGCCTACCCAAGCAGGCTGTCACCTAGGATCAAGTATTCGGGCATATAGAGGCCATTCTCATCCAAACCACTCATGTGGTTACAGAGTTTAATTCCAGCTTAGATAAACTTCCCATCCAGACATCTAACACACCATGTGAGCTAATTAAATAATCTAACACACTGAAGCAGTCATGCATTAATAAGTACATACATTTTATTTAGCCTAATTTATCTCGAAATACTTTTCAGCATACAGTCAGTATAAAATGCATCCTGTGCTTAGGTCTAAACTCTGTTGTGTTTTGCACTGAACATATCCTTCACCTGACTTAACGCTTGCAGATACTTCATCTGTAGATAACACGCATGAGTGCTCATGGGCACACACATAAAACATGTCATTCCAAACACACTTAACCTTTTTTCTGGCAATTGAGTATCTGCTTCTAAAAATGCAAAAGTTAAGAATTTACTTCTTTGGACACCCTACCCACAAGTTAAGTGCTCAATAACAACACGTGGCTGTTCTGTTGGGTTGTGTCACCCTACAGTGCTCTCAGCATGGTCACAGTGATATTCATTAAAAGAACATAATGGATTTCTACATTTCCACTGAGAATAAGAAATTATGATCAATATTTCCTATTCTTTTTTTCTGTACTCCAAATTCATCTTTTCTATATTTAATTTCTACTGTTATTCTACTTTCATTGCAAAACAAGCCTACCATTTGGCTCACCTGTTCCAGAGTTTTCCTGTGTCACTGAGCCAGGTAACTATACTGTGGTTAGTTTGGAATTGCAGTCTTTTCTTGAATTTACCTCTGTGTCTGCATATTACCCAACCTTTGTCCCCCCCTCCCCAACAGTCCTTTGGATTCCACACACACTTTATCTTCTCAGCCCTCACATCACTTTGGTTGTGGTAACTAAGGGGTTCTGACATCCTGGTTTTGCCCCCTCATATAGGGTGAAAGCTGAATTCAAACTCTGAATTCAAATTTCTGCTCACTGCCTGTTCTACTGTTGTCAAAGAAGAGGCCTCTGGAGAATCAGGCCTCACTATATTTTTTTTTAGTTTTTATTTATTCTTATTTTATATACATTGGTGTTTTGCCTATATGTATGTTTGTGTGAGAGTATCAGATCTTAGAGTTATAGATCGTTGTTAGCTGCCATGTGGGTGCTGGGAATTGAGCCGGAGTCCTCTGAAAGAGCAGTCACCTCTCTTAACCACTGAGCCATCTCTCCAGCCCCCAGGCCTTACTTCTTATCTGTCCTGTTCAGTCTTCCATCCTGTTGTAGGCAGCCTTGTTAAATTCTGAAGACCTTGAATCATCTCTAGGATTCACTCAGATTTCTTGAAACCAGGGAATTTCTCTGTTTCCCAGTTTATTTGTGCTCTAATGTGTATGAAATATTGAAAATACTAATTTAAACATTGACTTCACCTAAATGACTGTCTTGCAGTGAGTTGGCCAGGAGGAACGCATCTCCTTATTCATGTATACATAAGCCCATGAAATGAGTGGGCAAAGAGCGATCACAACAGCAATAGCCAAGTGCATTCTTCCACCAACTGGATTCCTGTAACAATAAAAATTATTATAAAGTCCAAGAAAACGAATCACTTTGGAAATAGACTTGAAGTTTGAATTGGTAAAACATTACATCTTAGAAGTTTCCCTTTATGAAACTAATATTCGCACAAAATCTTTATATACTTAATTTGATATATGTTGCCAATAATTTGATATATTTTACCACTCTGTTTTGAGGAATACTGATTAATTGATTATACTAAAATTGATCTTTTTGTTCCCTTGTAAGAAATCTTTCCCTCTGTGAGACTGTTTGTTTGAGACAGGGTCTTGCTGAGTAGCCCTTGCTGGTCTTATGCTTGTTATGTAGCTCAGGCTGGCCTTGAACTTGTAGCAATCCTCCTGCCTCACCCCCTGAGTGTTGTTATAAGAAGATGTAGCACCCTGCTCAGCCTTCCCCAAGGTCTTGAAGGCACTATTGCTTTCTCTGGAAATTTTGTTGTTTGAAGTTCTTTTTTTCATGGCAATAAAATCTTTAAAGATTTTGCCATCTGTCTTATGAGTAAAATTACTATAATTTTGTTTTAAAAATGTTTTTGGTAAATTTTATTATAGAGGTTGTTCTGCCCTCACCACGAGAGCTGGAAAGCAGTCCTTCCTCGCTGTTCCAGAGGCTTTTACTGATGGTCAGCACTGTTCTTCCTTAGATTTCATCAGCTGTGGCATCTAGGTCTACAATTGTGTTTTAGGGAAATTTAAAAAGTTTTGAAGTCCTTCTTAACAAAAAGACTGAAAAGTGATGAACTAAACTTCCAAGAAGTTAGGAAGATCCAGCTGAATGAGGAGGGGTTCTTGGTCCCCTAACCTCAGGACAAACTGGGGAGTTGACTATTGCTGGAGGAGAGAGAGTCAGCTTTCTTTAAGGGTGTGTCCATGGTAGGCTGACCACGTTCCAGTGGATGGCCACAGATCTGGTGATTCAGGTCGGTAATCTCAACTACTCAGGAGCCTGAGACGGAGAATTGAAAGTACAAGACCAGCCTGGTAGAGAGTGAGCTCAAGGCCAGACTGGGCAACTGAGACCTTGCCTCAAAATAAAAAGTAAAGAAATCTGGGGATATACCTCACCAGTTGAACAAATGCCTTAGCATGTACAAACCCTATATTCAGTCTCCAGCACCTGAACAATAAATGAATAAATTTTATAAATGAAGTTCAGAATAGGAATTCCCTAAAATGCCTTCCAGCATTGATGATACAAAGTCAACTGAATGTTTTGATGGACTTGTTGACTTAATCTAGGATTTTAAGTACAGTGTACAAAGTTGTTTGCAATGCTATCTGAGGACTTGATTAGTTAGCTGTGCCGTGTGTTCTTGTTTACCCCTAATGTTTCTTTTATCTATGCCTCTTCAGGATCCTGCTCTTAAATGTATATTTTTATTTTATGTCTTTCCAGGGATTATTAATATAATTTTAGAGAATCCATATTTGACTTGTGGGTTCTCTTATTTTTGCATATCAATTTTCATTTAATTGATTTTTGCTTTAATGTTTATTTCCTTGTTTTTTGGGGGGGTTAGTTTGATGTCCTCCTAAACTTGAAGCCTAGCTCATTCATCCCAGCCTCTTTACCCCTCATATCAAATATATACTTGAGTCCAGAATTTGTGTCTGAGCATTGTTTTAAGCCTCATTTCATTAATGTTAGCATTAACCCTTTTCAGTTCCAGATGTTTCTGATTTCCATTGTGCTTTCTTTTTTTGACTCACGTACTTGAAAGAAAACTTCCCAATTTCCAAATGTACAGTAATTGCCTAATTATATTGTTGTTAATGGTTTCTTTGTTAATTACATTATGTTTAGAGAACATTCTTTGAAATATGTAGAGAATATTTTATGGCTGAGTCTATAGTGTTTTTGAAATAATGTACATGTGAAAAGAAAGTGAATTCTACCAGGTGTGTGTGTGTGTGTGTGTGTGTGTGTGTGTGTGTGTGTGTGTGTAGGCCAGAGGTCGACAATGACCATCTTGTTACTGTCTACAGTTGTTTTAACATCATTTTATTTTGTATATATAAGCAGCTGCTTACATATGTGTAAGACCACCACGTGTATACTACCTGGTACTCCTGGAGGCCAAAAGGGCATTGAATTCCCAAAGACTGGAGCTACAGACTGTTGTGAGACACCATGTGGGTGCTGGGAACTGAACTCAGGTCCTCTTCAAGAGCAGTAGGTGCTCCTAACTGTTGAGGAATCTCACCAGCCTCACTGTCTACCTTTTTTGGAGGCAGGGCCTCTTACAGAATCAAGAACTCTCAGATTGGCTGGACTGACTGCCCACCAAGCCTCTAGGACCATCAGTCTCCAGTCTCTTTAAGTACTGGAATTGCATGTGTGCACAGATCTACCTGGTTTTCCATGGATTCTGGGAATCTGAACTCAGGTCCTCAGGCTTTCACTGCAAGGGCTTTATCAACTGAGCCATCTTCCCCAGCCCCAGATTCTTTCATCCATAATCATGTATCATAGAGTGTCCATGAGGTCTAGTTTCTTTTTGTGTAAGTAAAATCTTCCTTATTTGCAATGCCTTTTGTTTGTTGTATTAATGAATAAGAGGAGTGTGTTAATGTTTCACAAAATAATTGCAAATTTTTATTTTTAACTGACATTTATTTTATCTATTTGGAGATGATGTTATTGGGCACATACACATTTAGAATGGCTGTATCTTCTTGAGGAACTGAAGGTTTGGCCATTATCAAGTGTCTCCCTAGCCAGATATAGTGGCACATGCCTATAATCTCAGCATTTAAGAGATGAAAGAGGAAGATCAGGAGTTCAAGGTCATTCTCTGTTACATATTGAGTTTGGAGACCCTGTTGCAAACAAATGTGTGTGTGTGTGTGTGTGCTCTTGTGCTTGCACACACACACACACACGCCTGGCAAAATCTACTTTCTTTTCACATGTACATTATTCCAAAAACACTATAGATTCAGCCATAAAATACTCCCTACTATTTCAAAGACCTTATATCCTACAAAGCATATTCTCTGTGCATAGTGTAATTGACATAGAAGCCATTAACAACAATGTGCATTTGGAAATTAGGACATTTACTTTCAAATAAATTTGGGCCCCCAAAAAATTTCTTGTGTGTTTTGTCTACACGTATGCCTGGTACCTGTGGAGGCCAGAAGATGGCATCGGATCCCCTGGGACTGGAGCTAACAGATAGCCAGCTATAAAGCCACTCTGTGAGTGCTGGAAATTGAAGTCAGGTCCTCTGGAAAAGCAGCCAGTGCTCTTACCCACTGAGCAGTCTTTCCAGCCTGAGACCTAGGTTTTTAACTGATGAGTTGAACTTACTTTGCTGAGCTGTGACACAGTGCCATCCATGCTGTGATGATCACCAGGCCAGACAGCTCCCTGGAAAACACCATGTTTCACATTATGAAGTGGCTGCTGTTCCCGCACTGCATGTCACTAGGAGTGGTACAGCCCCGAAAACAGCCTGGGAGCTCATGTGTCATCAGTTTCATGTTTTTAAAGATGTCAGTGCTTTGCAGGGACTTGAACCAATAAAAAAACTCTAAACACACACTGGGAGAGACTGCAGGGAGAATAAGGGCTTGTACTATTAATCAGACTAATAGTGTTGAGGGGGATGTGTTTGTGGGATTGTGTTTCAGGTGTGTGTGCCTCCTGCATTGGCTGAAGAATAAGTATGTCACCACTACTGGAGTCCCCACTTGGAGTATACTCTGATACTTGGGCTTCAAGATGGAGGTGACTCAACTCATTTAATATATATATATATCCCCTTCAGAAGACCCAGTCTGGACATCTCTCCAGTTTACATAGGCTAGGGTCCAGAGCAAGCCTTATCAGTGACACCAAACACACAGGTCTCTGAGGCATGCTTCAGCAGCAGAGAAGAAAAAAAAGTAAAGGTCTCTTTGTAAAGCTGGGAGCCAAAGAAAGGGAGGTTAGAATAAATGGTTCCGACCAAGGGGGATGATATGTGATACACCAAATCAGGTTAAGTCAAAGCACTGACTTCTGAGTGGCTGACTGCACTTACACAGAAGACTCTGACCCAAGAGTGACTCAGGATGTCGCCGGCTTATCAGACTGGAACATGACTGTACTATTCCCTTAATAGTTGTAGGGAGGTCAAGGTCTGCCTGTCTGGCAGTAATGTTGTGGAATTGGCAATGGCTATGAGAGCTGTGATAGTGGAATCCAAGAGGCAATGCTGGGTTTGAATCCTGACTCCACCATTTCCATACTTTCTTCATACTATAACGGCTGTGTTACTGTCCCTGCTCCTCTAGGCACAGTTGGGGGGGTGTTAAATCATCATTGTGCATAGGTAAGTTGCTGCTGCAAAGGATTACTCAGGTCTGCCCCACCCTTCCCAAGAGCAAAAGTTGCTGCTCACCTGCCTTCTTCCTCATTTAGGATGCTGTGCTGTGCATGAAGCAAGAAGTGGTGTGCCAAGCCAGCAGCCCACAGCACGCAAAACAGCATGTGTATCGCAGACACACTCTTCCAGACGAAATTGCCTACAAGTGCACACCCTGCAGCTGTTAATCAGGGTGAATCCAGAAGCAAGCGCTCTCTCTTGCTTGCTTGATGAGAATTCACTCATTTTTTTGGGAGAGTCACCCTTCCCACACCACTTGCCCATCACCAGCACCTGGCCTTAGCACTTTCTGTTACTTAGCTTAGTGGAATCATACATGTAAGCTTAGGCAAGGAGGCATAAAGCATCGTCTTGCTTATAATGAACTTGCACTTACTAGGGGGACACATAAAAAACATGCCACACATTGCTATAAGTACTATTCATAGGGAGTTGGAAGGAGCAACTTATACTAATAAAAAATGTAGGGGTGTGTTTCAGTCGTGATAAGCACTTTCCATACACAAGTGGCAGTTTGTATACATAGATTTTGAATAAAGAAAGTAGTTCACAGGAGTGGTGGTGTTCTAAGAATGTGTAAAGAAAAGGAGCAGGGCATTGGTGGTGCATGCCTTTAATCCCAGCACTCAGGAGGCAGAGGCAGGCGGAACTCTGTGAGTTTGAGACCAGCCTGGTCTACAGAGCAGTTTCAGGACAGCCTCCAAAACAATACAGAGAAACCCTGTCTCGAAAAAAAAAAAAAAAAAGAGTTGATGTGGATTAGAAAGAAAAAATACTTAAGAGGTTATGATTGCCCTTGAGTTTGAGAAGACAAGATTAGCACTGCGATTCATGCCTATTTGACAGTAGCTGGAGGCTTAAGAAGTCAGTGCAGTGACCAAACCCATCTCCCTTCTGAGCTAAATCTCATAAGCAACAATCAGCCCAAGGGGTCTCAAGTCACAGTTGACAATGACTAGTGTGTCAAGAACTGGTGAAGCCTTCCTAGGACAGTCTGGGTGAAAAGGAGTTCCTCATTATGAGAAGGGAGAGGAAATGCCTGGAATCCCGGTTTTCTCTTGGGAGTTGGCTGGGTAGATTCTCACTGTTCTAAGAACTCTGATTTGCTGAACCTCCACGGAGAATTCACTGTTCATACCTGTGACAAGAGGATTAAACCCAACAAGCAGGGTAAGTACTGCAGGGATCATGTACACCACCTGTCAGCAAAAAGGAAATGGGAGGGTTAGACCGTGTGCCCAAACCTGGGAGTGTAGCCTGGTAGTATAGTGTCCTCATCCCCAGCACTGAAGACAGGAATACATTCAGAGGATCTAGCAAATAAAAGTGTGATCGGTGGTCCCCAAGTTGTGATTTTTCCTGTTTCACTAGGCACCAAGGATGTGATAACTTCTGCTACTATGACCTCATCACCACATCAGGCTGTAAGTTTTACCTCCCTTGGTCAGATCTTCCTGCAGGAAAATACATTTTGGAACTCAAGCTATAGATCAAAGTGCTGAGGAAGAGGTCATTCGATTTGGAGACTGGGGACTCTGGATAACAAGCAGAATCAGACTATGGATCTACTGGAAAAACACCAAAATCTAGGCTAAAAGTTTGCTCTATAATTCCTGGTGTTGTCTATGGTTTTCTGAGGTAAAAAAAAAAAAATCATGGCTGGATATAATCAATACACACCCCTGTGATGGCTGTCATAAAGGTTAGCTTAACACGTCAAGTGACTAACACATTGTAGGACCTTAATAACATCGTAATGCCATGATTGTCAAGGGGATCAGAGTTGCTGGAACAAACTCTCTGTGGAAAGACTTTAATGTCTCCAGAGAGTTCAGAGTTCACCCCCCCCCCCCCGCCAGCAAGTTATATTATCATAGTGATTTCCACTTCCAAGGAGAAAAATTAGGCAAAAAGCTCATACGTGTTAATTTTTCAGTTTAGGCAAATGTCTCCAGGATCAGAGTCACAATTGTGTCAAACGGAGGAATACAGAAGTTCATACTCACCACCCAGAACTCTGCATCTGGATCGTTCACCTATAATGTCAAAACATCAAGCTGTTAGCTGACATTAGACTCTATACGTCCTATATCTGGTCTGACCTTGTATTTACTATTCATTTCGAAGAGCCAGGCTCTGCAATGGGCTCAGGGTACAGAAAACCTGTCAACACTGGTCTAGCTTTCTGGACATCAGGATGGCTGAAGGGACCCCCCCCCGGTTGAACACAACAGGTAACTCTAATACATAGCCACGCATACTTTGAAAAGAACTGCTTGGGATTGCCTAAGAACCACACGGGCGTCTTAAGACCCTGGGTCTCAAGAAACGAGGGATGGGGATTATCCTAAGCAAGGATGGTCGGAAAGCAGTCTGGAAAGGGTAAGGATGCTGGCAGTGCTGTTTCCTCCTTCTCCCCAAGTACAGAAACCCATTCAGTCTCACGGGAGCTGAAGGTTCGGAAGGGTGCTAGAGCGGTGGTTCTGGGTCCCTTTCTGGGTGACCAGCTGCTGCTCTCAGCATGTCGCTTAATTACAAGAACTTATCCTTGTTCTGGTTGAGAGGACTCAGCAGGTTGGGGAAACGGAAGCCCCAATTCTGCTCCACCCTGCGAACTGGACGCCCTGGCGTCTCCGCGGTCCCGCTGCCCGCCCTTCCTCAGCCCGCCTGACCTGCACCACGGCGGCCAGAGCGAAGAAGGCTGCCATGAGCACATTGCAGGCCCGCCACAAGCCGTGAGCCCAGGGAGTCACTACAGGCGCCATGGCCAGGGAGCAGGAGGAGCAGGCGGGGCCAGAGGGGGCAGGACCAGATGGCGGGGCCCCGCTAGTGGGGCTGGACCCAGAAGGAGGGGCGGGGCGTAGTGGGCGGGGACGGGGCTAGCGGGGCAGGGCTCAGATGGCGGGGGCAGCGCTCCCCGCCCTCCCCAGTCCTAGGACGGTCTCGCGGCACCCACTAGCGGAGGAGTGTGGCATCGGTCTTGCCCTGCTGTCTTCCTTGGGGTGTCCTGGAGGCAGGGTTGATGCTGTCCCCATTTTACTGATGGGAGAAGTGATTCCTAGAGGGTCGAGGTGACTTGCTAAGGTCGCCCAGATGGTGGAGGGATTGAAGGAAATTGGATTTGAACTCTATTATAGAGGTGTAGCTCCAAAGCCTGTTTTCCCTAGGCTAAGGCTGTGCTTTCTCATTCTAAAGAAGCAAATGGAAACAAAACAAAACAAAAACAAGAAAACAAACAAACAACAACAACAACAAAAACAAGCACAAACCAGAAACGGAAGTGAAGAATAGAAAGAAAAAGAAAAAAGGCTTGTGGGGTGGGTGTGCTCCAGTTGGGTTTTCTTTCTTTCTTAACTCTTCCATCCCTTCCTTCCTTCCTTCCTTCCTTCCTTCCTTCCTTCCTTCCTTCCTTCCTTCCTTTCTTCCCTCCCTCCCTCCTTCCTTTCCTCCCCCCTCTCTCTTTCTTTCTGTGTGTCTGGCCGGCTGCCCACCCCCCTTCCTTTTTTCAGACCAGGTCTCTCTGCATCGCACTGGCTGTCCTGAAGCTCACTATGTAAAACAGACGGACCTTGGACTCGCAGAGATCTGCCAGCCTCCTGTGTCGGGGTTAAAGGTGTGCACCACCATGCCTGGCCAGCCTTTCGGGCTAGTGTTTATGGGCTTCTTTCCGAAAAGCACCTGCACCTTCAGGGCCGGGAAAGCATTGTGACAGTTTCTGAAGTGAGTGACAACACACAGCTTTTCCAGCAGCTGTCTCCTTTATCTTCATGCCCTCTTTCCATAAAGGGTATTTGCACATTACACGTATTTACATTTCTCTCCCACCAGCAAAGCCAACATTTCCAGCATTCATGTGCTCCTGTGCCTCTTCGAAGGGAAGGCCTGGGATAGTCCAGCTCCAGCTCCCTTGTGCCAGCCTCTTTCTGCTGTGCAGGCTGCCCTTCTGACCGTGCATCTTGGGGTTATTTACACATCTGTCAGTCTCATTTTGTTATTTCAAAGAGCCTTTGTCACCTCAGATCCTGCACTTGTCACCCTTTCCTTTTAACTAAATTTCTTTAAAATGCTCAGATGGGTTTTCCCTTCTGATTAATTCTTTAGACCAGGGTTTCTCAACCCGTGGGACCCAGCAGGTGACATTCCTGAAATAAGCAGTGGTTCTCAACCTTCCTAATGCTGTGACTCCTTAATCCAGCTCCTCATATGTTGACCCCCAACCATAACATTTTTTTCATTGCTACTTCAAAACTAATTTTGCTACTGTTATGGACTATAATGGGAATATCTGTGTTTTCTGATGGTCTTAGGCAACCCCTGTGAAAGGACCATTCAACCCTGAAGGGGTCACAGCACAGAGGTTGAAAACCACTGTCCTACAGGGTTTTGAGATACATAGTAAGGATGTTCAGGAAATACTGCTTTTTCTCCTGCCATGACCTGGGGAGGTTTAAGGGGACCCCTCAGGACCTGACGGACACCACTTTGACAACTTCTTAGATGCTTTGAAGACCAGGAGGATGTCCCACCCATGGCCTTGTCCTCTTGCTCTAATAGGATAAAGGATAGGGAAGACAGGCGATTAAAACCAAGTCTCTACACATTGTGACTTTGAACCATAAGGGTTAGACTGTTGTAACAGTGAGTGTTCACAAGATGGCGGGCTTTCACTGCGAACGGAGTCCTGTGGGGCGGAGGCTGTGCCTTCCCTTAGATGTGCCCTGGAGAGGTCTGATGTAGACTTTCAGAGTGGTTATGAACTTGGAATCGGCCAGAGTTGAAGAAATACAAATGGAATTTTGTGCCAGGACCTTTTACGTTCAAGCGGAGGCGCCGCGAGGAACGAGTTAGCCTTGCTGTACTGTCAGCAGAACTTTTACCCACCTGCTACCCCGAGATTCCAGGGAAACGGGATGAGTTTGCAAAATGCGACCCCCAAGCAAACGATGATGGTAATAGCTATCGGTTGCTGAGTCTTTATGCAAGACTGAAGGGTAGCTTTGGATATCTGAACACCACCTCAGATTCAGTATCTGTAAATCTAAAATTCTCCTCCTGTGTCCCTCTCTTCACAGAAGACACCATCAGGATCATACACACAATTGCTCTTTTTGTTAGTGGTGTAAGGGTGCCTTATCAAATCACCATGAAAACAGAGAAATGTTTATCGCATTGTTCTGGAGTCTGGAAGTCCAAACTGAAGGTGTCAGTGGGACCACACCCCCAAAAGGCTTAGGGGATATGTCTGCTTCCAGGCTCCTCCTGGCCAGCTCTCCCTTATAAACTCTGTCTTCACTTACTCTTGTCTGTGTAAGTGCCTTCTCTATGTCTTCATCTTTTTTTAAGTGTGTGTGTGCGAAGGTGTGCTTGCTGGAGTCAGCTCTCTCTTTCATCATGCCGGCCTCAGGGGTTAAACTCAGGTCACACCAGGTGTGGCAGCAAGCACCTTTACTCTCTGAGCCATCTTGCAGTCCCTCTCTCTCTGTCTTACAGGGAGACTAATCATGGGATTTAAGACCCACCTGGATAGTCCAGCCTGATCTCATCTCTGATTGTCAAGTTAATTATCAAGATAATTTTCAATGATTCTTTTCTTTCTTCAAATAAGATCATGTGCACAGACTTCTAGGGTTGGGGTGGACATATGTTTGGGGAGCCACCATCCAGCATATTAACTGTAGAAAATTATCAATCCCTCCCTCCTCCCTCCTTGGGCAGCCTACCTGTGATTCTGGTGGGCCTTTCTGCAGTGTCACCCCATCTTTACTGCTATATCCCCAACAAACTGCTTATGTGCTCTGCTAGGCCCCAGTGACCTCCTGGCTGGTTTCTCTCCTATTGTGGCCTGTGCTGAGTTCCCCCAAATGCATATGTTGACTGTATGGTGACTGGGTTTTTAAGCAGATACTTCAGTGAGGTCCCTAGAGTGGGATGCTAACCTGATAGGACTGGTGTTTTTACAGAAAGAGGATTCAACATCTACACATCTTCCTCCCTTCCTGAGAGTGCCCAGGGTAAGCCATGGGAGGAACCGTGAGCAGGAGGCTGTATATGAGCCAGGAGGGGAGAATTCCCCAGCCATTAACCCTGATGGCACTGAGAATCCCCAGCTTCCAGTAACTCAAGAGAATAACTGTCTGTTGTTTAAGCCCCGCCCCATTGGGTACCCATGTCAAAGAACACCTGTGTTCTGAACTTGCTCCCACCAGTTTGGAACCAGTGGCCTCTGTAAGCCACAGATCTCAACACTTCTACCTAACACTAGCCATCTGTCCTTCCCTGCCTCCCTCATCCTTCCTCTCTCTATCCCTCCCTCCTTCCCTCCCTCCCTTCCTCTCCATCCCTCCCTCCCTTTGCTCCTTTGAATTGATGCAGGGCACTACTCTGGGCACCAGAGATTTAGAGTGAGCAGAACAGAGAACCTCACCTGATCCTCCTATGGGAAACTCCAAGGTCAAGGACCAACGGTTTGAACAGTCTGTGAAGCCCTGCAAAGGGGGAGCCAGCAGGCCGAGCTTGCCGCCCACTGCAGGCTGAGCTCCCACTGCAGGCCGAGCTTGCCGCCCACTGGGCGTCCTTCCCCACCACTTCATGTGTGTGTGCTCCTCACCCTTTGGTTACACAGGCCTCCATTACACAGCTCTCTCTCCTGCAGACACGGGCTCTGCATGGTCTCTTCCCCTTTGCCTAGTTAGCTCTCACTCCTATGTGCACTCAGTCTCCTGGAGTAATCCAGCCACAACCTCAGCATCTGCTTTTGGCTCTGGTAGTATCGACTACACTGGCAAGGATACAATTAGTTGTTGGGTGTTTGTATAGCTCACCAGACTGCAAGCCCCATGAGGACAATATCTGCGTCTATTATAATTTCTTTTTCTTCCTGCTGCTTTCCCAGGCTCAGCACACTTAGAACATGGCTGGTGCTTATTAGCTATTGTGACAGGGATGAGCCACAGAATTAAGAAACCATTCAGATAAACACCTAACATCCTTAAGATCTCTTTAGAGTGTATATGAATTCGAAGTGAATTCTTGGTGTTCACCAAAACAGTCACCTAGAAAAATACTTTTTGTGGCAAAGAATAGAAGGCTTGTTTATATATAAATTACCAAGACCGGAGCAAACTCAGACATCATAGTAGCAGACAACAGTGACCCAGGCCTGTCCTCTAGTCCTGCATTGCAGGTGCTGTACAGCAGCCTTACGTGTTTTATTCCCAGTTGATGGATGTGCTAGCTTTATACTTTGATTTTTTGCACGTATGTGCATGCATGCGTGTGCACATGGAGGTCAGAAGGTAACTTGTGAGTGTCAGTTTTCTGCTTCCACCATGTGGGTCCTGGGATTAAACCCAGGTCCTCAGGCTTGAGGAAGTGCTTTTACCTGCTGAGCTATTCTGCAGCCTCCTGCTAGCTTTAAATGATGAGAGAATTCTTAACAGAACTATTTTTCAATTCCCATATTATTTGTTATCACATGCAACTTTGAGAATGCCACAACACACAGGTGGAGGTCTGAGGACAAATCTCAGGAGTTGGTTCCTTCCTTCCTAAGTGAGTGCTGGGAATCAAACTCAGGTGTCAGGTTTGTGTAACAGGGGTTTGTTCCAGCTGAGCTGTCTCCCCGACCCTTAGCAGAACCATTTAAGAGGAAATTTGCTAATGAATAATACTTTTCTTTATATATATATATATATATATATATATATATATATATATATCTGTTGCATTCAGGAGGAGAGAAGTCATCCTGGGACGAAGTCACATAATGGATTACTAAGAGAAACAAAAGGAAGTCCCTAGCATCCTTGATA